GCTCAGATAGATTGACCTTAAGTTCTCTAGATGATCAGAAAAGGCTTTCCTATATGAAATCTCAAGTGTATCAAAGATATGACAAGAAAAAGCAAATCTGGGGGCACTGTGAAATGCCTTGCGCTCTTCTGGTTGGGCCATGAGTCCTGGTTGGTCCTTACTAGACCCTATATAAGGTCCCCTTCCTATATAGAAGGAGAGATTGCAGAAGTCTGAGAAAATGAACATGAGTCGGCTTCAGTGTGCGCTCGCAGCCCAGAAAGCAACCGTATCCTGGGCTGCATCAAAAGGAGTGTGACCAGCAGGTCGAAGGAGGTGATCCTGCCCCTCTGCTGTGCTCTCGTGAGACCTCACCTGGAGCATTGTGTGCAGTTCTGGTGTCCTCAACATAAAAAGGACATGGAACTGTTGGAACAAGTCCAGAGGAGGCCATGAGGATGATCAGGGGCTGGAGCAGCTTCTGTATGAAGACAGGCTGAGAAAGTTGGGGCTGTTCAGCCTGGAGAAGAGAAGCTGAGTGGAGACCTCAGAGCAGCTTCCAGTGTCTGAAGGGGGCTACGAGGATGCTGGAGAGGGACTCTTCATTAGGGACTGTAGTGATAGGACAAAGGGTGATGGGTTCAAACTGAAACAGGGGAAGTTCAGGTTAGATATAGGGAAGAAGTTATTTACTGTGAGGGTGCTGAAGCACTGGAATGGGTTGTCCAGAGCACTGGTAAATGCTCCATCCCTGTCAGTGTTCAAGGCCAGGTTGGACAGAGCCTTGGGTGTCATGGTTTAGTGTGAGGTGTTCCTGCCCATGGCAGGGGGTTGGAACTCAGTGATATTAAGGTCCTTCCCAACCCAAACCATTCTATGACTCTATAAGTGCATCTATAGAGCAGCCATGTGTAGAGTCAGTACAACCTCAAAACCATGTTCCTCATGTTGAGCACATTTCTATTCCCAGCCCAGGCTCTCCTCTCACCTATAGGCACAGAGGCCGTGCTGCCCTGCACACCTTCCACTCAATTATTTACCATCCAGTTGCTATGGATCTACTGGAGGCGATCAGTTGAAAGAACATGCAGATGGCCTCTGGTTTTGAGTTCCCGCTGCGCTTTGCTTAATTTGGTATGTAAAGGTATTAGGTTAATTAAATGCCATGTGTTGCATGGGGACCGACTGCATTTGTGGATTAAGAAGTACCCGAGTCTGTTTCTGTGCTGGAAGTCCTCAAGCTGGCAGATGGTTGTTTCATTGAGAAAGGAAGGTAACGGAGAGAAGTCACAGGGAAATGAAGAGTTTTCCCTTTAATCCCACAGTCGTCTTTCCCGAATGGGTGGTTGTGTCCTTCATTATCACCCCTTAGACTGGAAGAATTGAAGAGAAGTAAAGTTATCCAGTTGGCTTTAAGACTCCCACGGTTGTATGGAGTGAGGATGCAAGCTGGCCAGTGGGGGACCATGGCTGGTGAATGGAAGCTTTTCTCCTAGAAGACCTTTACCAAGAGCTGCATTGTCAGTCAGATCAGAGGGTGTCCTGCAGGCAGCAGGCATGGTCACGCTGGAGGTCTAAAGCAGACCAGACAGAGCTCTCTGGCATTCGTGGTGGAATGCATGTAGGAAGCAGAGGGACAAAGCTTCCTTTGCCACTGCAAAGCTTTTGGAGATGCTGAAGAGGAAGAAGGTCGTTTTTGTGCAGCCGTGCCCTGAGGTGGTGGAAGATCAGGAGAGGGAGCAGGGCAAATGGACACTGCTCCGCAACGTCAGCCAGGCCCTGAAGCCCACCACCATGTTAGCGGTAAGACAAGGGGTCCCAGTCTCTGAGCATGGCTGGAAGCCATCAGAAATCAGTCTTGCTGCTTGATGAGGATGCCTGATCCTCATACTGCTTGTGCCAGCTTCTCTTACCTTCCTCCTGAGTCTTTGTCCTCCCCAAGCTCTGTAGCATCCCTGTGGTGCAACCTTCCTGCTCTTTGCATTTGGAAGCTCCTCCTGAAGATCCTCTTCATGAATTGCGTTGATGTATGTGCATCTATGGTGGTGTTTCCCTCTCTTGCACCACTTTTTAGTTATCAGCACCCATAGCATTCGAGGTCCTGAGGGTCTGCCCCAGAATAAGGAAGGACCCAGGGCTGTGTTGAGGAGGAAGAGTTGGACTGTGTTGATTCTGTCAAATGACTAGTTGATCTTAAGGTCCTTTCCAACCCTAACTATTCTATGGTTCTATGACTGGTACTGTCATGTGTGTTGGAAAACAAACTGCATCAGTTTAGGCATGAAGCGGCTTATGCAACTCATAAGCCAGTCTGCCCAAGCTGGTAAATGCATGAATCACCCCGATTTACCCCGAAATCCCCAATATATCTGCTGCTTTTGGGGGCTGATCTGATGGTGATTGCATCAGTGGAAGGCATGTAACTGACTTCCGTGGGGTTTATATCAAATCGATTACAGTGAAGGAAGGAAATAGGTCATCACTCTGAGTAAGTGATGTTATTTGTTAACACCCCCCTGACCTTTCCGAGCTTACCAGCTTAGCCCATCCCATAAGTCTTGCTTTATTTCACCAGTATTAAGAACTGGGCTTTAATGTGTTTAGAAAGAGCATTTTGAAGGGATGAGCACTCTGTGCATTAGGCAGGGAAAGCACAGGAGTTGTCTTAGTGTTAGTACAGTATCACTTTACCTTGGGGAGAGCAGAATGCCTTTTTATCTCAGCTCTGTGCTAACAGCACATATGAAGCAGGCTGCTTTTACAGCTATTCAGAATTAAAGATTAAACACCCCCCCCCACAGCATTACACTTCTTGTTTTCTTGATCAAAAGCAATTTCTATGGGTGTCAGAAGGGTTTTCTGCTGAGCAGGGACTGAGCAACCTGGTTCTCCTCTTGCTGACACCTTGATCATGTTACCCTGTGCATGAATTCACCCGGCTATGCAGCGAGGATAACGGTGCTGAACACTCTGAAGTGCTTTGAAATCCTTGGGTTAAAGGAGCTAAGGAATCAATATTAATAGAAGTGGATTTATAATGTATATCTGTGCGTGACTTACTGCATTCGTTAGTTGTTTTCTTCCTTTTATCTCAGTTATGAGATGTGAGGATAAGGGAGTTAATGAGAGAAAGATCTGAATATCGTATTTTGATGAGCTGGGTAAAGATACTTACAAGCAGTGCTGTAGCACAGCCCTCTGAGGAAATGGAAACCCAACCTAAGGGCTGGATCCTCAGCTCCGTGTAAGCAGGATGCCTTTGTTGGTATCCTAAGTGAAACCTAGCAAGCAGTTGCCAAGGGTGGAACCTACCACAAAATGCCTGGGAACGCCTCATCTGTAGTGTTTCTCCATGTGCAAGTCCCTGGGGATCCCTGTGGCACTCAGTGGTTAGTATCAGTCAGAAGTCCCAGTGAGCAATGGCATGGATGGTGAGCGTTTCATCATGCTATATATTGCTACCTGTCTCTGGTTCCCACCATCCAGAGGGGAGCTGAAGGTTGTTCAGCAGTGCATTAGGTCAAACTAAGTCTATAAATATTCTGTCCATAGAAATGGTCAATAGTGGTTGCTCAGGAAAGAGGTTCTATAAGAGCACACAGAATCATGGAATGGTTTGTGTTGGAAGGGACCTTAAAGCCCATCCAGCTCCAACCCATGCCATGGGCAGGGACACCTTCCACTGGAGCAGCTTGCTCCAAGCACCTGTGTCCAACCTGGCTTGAACACTGCCAGGGATGGGGCAGCCACAGCTTCTCTGGGCACCCTGTGCCAGCACCTCAGCACCCTCACAGGGAAGAGCTTCCTTATATCCAACCTATATCGTCTCTGTTTAAGTCTGAACCCATGCAAAGTGATCCCTCCTGTTTTTCCCTTTCCCTTCTCCCAGCAGTTTTTCAGGACTTCCAAAGGTAGATACTGCATTTGCACTGTGTTTAATAGGTACCAGTGGAGCTGGCCCCAGGAATATGGCATTATGTGGAGCTACAAGTTCACAACATTAAACTCAGCTGCATGAAAAAGTACATTTGCTCGCTTGATGGAAACATGCCAGCCTAATTTAACTAGATGCTTTCCAGTTCTAACACCTCTTTGCATTGAGAATAGGGGAGGTAAATAACTCTGCTTGGCTTCAAACAGTGTGGGTCCTGCTTGGGAGTTTAGTTTGGAGTTATTTGGGGGTTTGCATTTGTATTGAGGGAAAACAGCTTCTTTAAAAGCCCTTTTGCATTTGAGTAATTTAATATCCACAGAGCTGATGAGCAGATAGTCCCTGCCCAGCAGGACTCACAGAGGTCTATGGCATCACATCAGTGACATGGAGCAAGTGGATAGGGGTCAACTGCTTGCTGTGTCTTCCAAAGTGAAAACAAAAGGGTCTCAAATGAAAGAGGTGAAACACATGAAGCATGTAAAAGGACACAGGGTTTTATGCTATTTGTAGTTAAACTTTTCCTTAGACATTATGGATGCTAAAACTTTGCACAGGTTCAGGAAGCAATTGGATGCGGTCACAGTAGATAAAATCCACTGGATTAAATGCAAAGAGCCCACCTATAAATCACTGTAGCTGGGAGACCTCCTGAAGAAGTATATATATCTACCTCTTTGGTATGGTCTTAACCCTTCTTTAGTCATCTCCTTTCACTAGTGTCCAAGTCAGGAGAATATATATTTGATAGTGTTTATATGGAAGGGAAAAATAAGCCTCCAGATAAGGCTTTCCAAAACCATCTCCTAAGTGTGACTTTCTAGTCTTGTACATCACGGAGGGGAACTTCTGCCTGGGTGGGTTTTTCTGCCTGTATCACTGCCCTGTAACCTGCTTGCTGCAGGATGCAGTCTGTGACCAACAATCACCCACAAGCTCATGAAATACAGGGATAGTAAGTGCAGTGGTTTGCAATGGAAGTCATTTGACTTGCACCAATGATTTGCGTACAAAACATCAGCAACTTGTACCCCGAGGGATGCTAAGGCTTCTGCAACGCTGAGTATAACTGTCCTCTCTTTGATTCCAGGGGGATTATGTGTGGATGGACCTCAAAACCGGACGGGAATTCGATGTCCCCATTGGAGCGGTGGTTAAACTGTGTGACTCTGGACAGATCCAGGTTGTGGATGATGAAGGCAACGTACGTACAAAGGGTTGTAAGGACCCTTCTTCAGCTCTTCTGGATAGGCCAAGGATCACAGGAACACGATGACTGACTTTGCCATAGACTTCTCATATGTCTTTGGGTTCGACTCTGCCATAGTTTTCTATCTGTAAATACACGATAATGTTGTGTCCCTACTTTTGTGGCTGTTTTGGGATGGAAAAGTCAAGAAGCTTCTTGAGTACAATGATAACAGAAGCCTCCAAAGTACATTTAGATAGCGTTTGAGCAAACCCTCCTTGACCTGCTGTCCCTCCTGTCCTTCTACCAACACAAGATGTGCTCAAACACTGGTTCTTATTCAGTTTCCCACCTCTATTTCTGTGCAGTAACATCTCTATCACAAGCAGAGGGTGGTCTCAGGAGGTTCCTCACATTGTTTTCCCAGCCTGTTTCCCCATTGTATGTTCTCTCATTCCCTCCAGGGGTGGTATAAAGAGATTTGGTTCAGCAGGGTCCATGTGTCCAATTTGTAGTAGCTTTTGAAGCCCTTTAGAAGTGATCAGACTAAACAACACTCTGCCATCAAAAGCAAGATTTTGTCATCCCTCTGTATCCCTCTGTCCTTCTCTAAATCATCTTCTCCCTGCCCATTATGTCTTGGCAGAGGGCTAACCAGGGGTATGAAAATGTAGTTGTGTGAAGGGAAGAACGTATCTGCTGTTTGTTAGACGCTTCCCTGATGTACTATGTGTCCGTGGTGTCCTGGATGATGGTCCTGCAGTATGGCTTATGTCTCATAGAATCATAGAATGGTTTGGGTTGGAAAGGACCTTAAGATCACCACGTTCCATCCCCACTGCCATGGGCAGGGACACCTCACACTAAACCATGGCACCCAAGGCTCTGTCCAGCCTGGCCTTGAACACCGCCAGGGATGGAGCATTTATGTCTCTTTGCTACTGCAGTAAACCAAAAGATGCTTTCCTTTCTGCTCTGAACCTTTCCAATAAGTCATTGACATGCCTTAGGAATAGAAGTTATGGCCTGTGTGTTTGTGCTGTCCTGTGTGTGTTCTTCCATCTGTGTTGGGCTGTTTCTGTCTCTCATCCTAGAGGTATCCCATTTGTCTTATTTTCATCCTTCCTCTCTTCCCAGGAGCACTGGATTTCCCCGCAGAATGCCAGCCACATCAAACCCATGCACCCCACCTCCATCCATGGAGTGGAGGACATGATCCGCCTGGGGGACCTGAACGAGGCGGGAATCCTCAGGAACCTGCTGATCCGCTATCGGGAGCACCTCATCTATGTGAGTGTCCTCCCACCCCACCTCTCGTTCTGTACTGCACTCCTTAGCTCTGGGGAACCCACATGGGGAACCCCCTGATTGAACTGAGCATCTGGGTCTCTACCTTCACCTGGAACTGAGTGATAGAGGGTTTCTGCAATGTGGAATCACAGAATCCCAGACTGGTTTGTGTTGGACGGGACCTTAAAGCTCATCCACCTCCAACCCCTGCCACAAGCAGGGGCACCTTCCACTGGAGCAGCTTGCTCCAAGCCCCTGTGTCCAACCTGGCCTTGAACACTGCCAGGGATGGGGCAGCCACAGCTTCTCTGGGCACCCTGTGCCAGCGCCTCAGCACCCTCACAGGGAAGAGCTTCTGCCTAAGAGCTCAGCTCAGTCTCCCCTCGGGCAGGTTCAAGCCATTCCCCTTGGCCTGTCCCTACAGGCCCTTGTCCCAAGCCCCTCTCCAGCTTTCCTGCAGCCCCTTTAGGCACTGGAGCTGCTCTAAGGTCTCCCCTTCAGGAGCCTTCTCTTCTCCAGGCTGCCCCAGCCCAGCTCTCTCAGCCTGTCTTCAGAAGGCACATTGCAGAGTTTATGGGTGCCCCAGTGAAAGACCCATGTGTTAGGTAATGAACAAGTCTCTGCCACCTCACTGTGTAGCCCCTGGAGAAGTTCTGGGGACACGCATTAACCTGCACTCAATAACCAGTTCAACCCAGGCCGTGTGCATGCTGTAGTAATCCTAAAACAAAAGCCTTTGGCAACTGCAGGCTGGCTGTGGCCCTTCTGCCTTGTCCCTCTGAACCATTAACTCATTCAAGCCAAGTAGGTGAGGACTGGAAAAGCTGAGAGAGGTGGGAGTGTTCAGCCTGGAGAGGAGAAGGCTCAGGGAGACCTTATCCTCATGTGCCAGGAGTTAAAGGGTGGCTGCAAAGAAGATGGAGACTCCCTTTTGACAAGGAGTCCATGGAGAAGACAAGGGGTGATGGGCACAAGTTACTGCTGGGGAGATTCCCACTGGACACAAGAGGGAAATTTTCCCCATTGAGAACAAGTAGCCATTGGAATAATCTCCCCAGGGAAGTGGTAGATTCCCATTGGGCACTGTTAAGATTGGGCTGGACAGGGTGCTGGGATATCTAGCCTAGGTCATGCTTTGCCTACAAAGGTCAGACCAGATGATCCTTAAGGTCCATTCCAGTCTGGGATTCTATGCTTCTATGAATTGCTGCAGGTGCAGAGTGTGGAGAAAGGATGAGGAAATGCATGCATGAACTAACTGGGAACAATGAAGTGAGCAACTCCCACAACAGCTCTAAAGTACCTTCCCCATCGGTGTTTATGACTTGTTAGCTCTGGGTTGCCTGGGATCCTGACAGCTCATCGCTTGGGAGGGCAATGCCCTTCCTTAGGTCAGCCCAGTCGTGCCCAGTGGATCCAGTGCACCCTTTCCAACCCACCCAGACATTCAGAATCGAGGGGTTTACATGGAGCCAGCCAGAGCTACATCTCTTTTCTGCAGTAGCCTCACAAAGGCCACCTCCCAGCAGGACAAGGGTCAGCATTCCAGTCTCTGTGCTGGTTTTATCAGTGTGCTATAGGCTGTGTGGTCGTGTTCACATTCTTGGGGTGGAAGTGTGGAGTACCTATGTGTGTTTGCCATTAGCTAATGTATGCAATCAGCCTATGAATATATGGAACATTTGGTATTGCCCTCATCCTACAGTTTTCACTCAGGTAAGTGCCTGCTGTGCCTTTGGAAACCTTTTCAAAGCCACCTGGCAATCTAAATTCAAAAGGCTGTAGAGACTACTCGATCTTCAGGCAGAGGGAATTGCAGTACAGGCTCCCCGGACAGAAGAAGCTGACAGACCATATCCAGGACTTTATCTACCAGTTCTGCTTCTTCTGCTTGGTATCCAATGCCTTTTGATAGGATGGTTTTGATTTAGAGCTGGGCAGTGATGGAGAACACACCACTTTCACGTAGGCTGTTCATATGGTTGACTGCCAGCTCTGGAGGATATTCATCTTTTCTGTAAAGATGGATTTCAAGCCTAGAGGAAGGGGATGTGGCTGCTGAAGGGGCACCCCTAGATCCAGGAAGCATGGAGGAGAATAGAGACCCCCAAATCCATCTCACTGAGGCACATTATTGGCTGTGCACGCTGCCCAGGTATTGTCCATTTAAAGTCACGACCAGAAAATGATCTACACATCAGATGAACTGAATTACCCCCTGGAGCTCTCTTCAGGGAGCCACAGCCATAATGATACACTAGCGAAAGCTAGCAGCCCAACTTCATACTTGAGGTGATGTCTCCATGTGCCCTAAAGCACCCATGGTAGTCACCAGAGATATGGATAGAGCCAACAGAACCAAGACTGCCTTTCAGCTGTGCAAACATAGGTGCCTGTTGGGTGAGGTGATTGCTTCAGAGCTGGCTGGAGCTGGGGTAGAAGAGTTTATGTTGGAACCTCAGGTTGGAGGTCTAAGTCCAGCATCCAGCTCAGAGCATGTCCATTGACAAGGTTAGATGTGGTACACATATGGATAACTAAATTCAAGCAACCTGAATGCTATCCAAGAAGTACTGATAGCAAGTAGCTGGTTGGCTCATCCAGGGAACATGTATTTATCCATTGCTTGTGGGCACCCTGCAGTGGTGCCAAGTGGATTCCCACAGCTTTCTCTGGGAAAGCTGGGATCAAGTTGGGTACTTTTGCACCCCTGGGGTCTCCATCAGGCAAGTGCCTGTTATCTCACCAAGTGAACAGAGGTCCTCAGATAAGATTGCATGTTTGCAGTACCAGATGGTGTGTGAATACACCAGCTCCTTCATGGAAGCTCTGCCTCTGAGCTCCCTCACCAAGCTGTTCACAGGCATCCAGGGAGATTAGGAACACAAATGGATACTGTGCAGAACGTGTTTGGCAGCATCATACTAATAAGGGCTAATGCAAAGGGCAGCTTCTAACCTGGAGGTGAGCATGGGCAGTGATTTGGGCTGAAATGAGTCAGTAACCATGTGGTTTCTCTACTAGTTCTTCGGGTCTGATAATGACAGTGCCATGTGTCCTACAGAGCTACTGCATTAGGGATGGCCACATCCAGCAAAGGGATTTGCATCACAGAGGTTCCAGGTTACTGTTTTTGAATTGCTCCACACCACTAATGGCTTTGGAGCTCCAGCCCACATCCTGGGTACAAGGCAGCAATTAGTGCAATCTGAGATCAGAATGACACTGTCATAATGACATAGAGCACATAGCTTGATAGAGAGGGACATAAACCATCTCTGTTTACATGTGTGTTGTTGAAGGCTCAGGATCTTTAGATCTCATCTCTCAAGAGTGGTGGCACTAGGATGGGTAGGTTTCCATTGAACGTGGTGATTAATGGCAGCTTTGCAAAGCCAAGGTACCATATGGATGCCATATGGGTAGGAGATAGCCAGTGCCCTGAGGTGTTTTCTTCTGTGGTATAATTTGCTCTGTCTTAAAGATGGTGAAGCTCAGTGTGACTTCACCTTCACTGCTCAAAAGGGTATCTGGGCCTGCTGAGTAAAGGTTTTCCAACAGGGCTTCAGCCCCTCTTGTTTCCTCATCATCTGAGCTTTGTGGAGGTGTAACCCTGCTCTAATAAAATATACTTTTCCTTTTTCTCCTCCCTCATATTCTACTCCTAAGACAAACTGCGGCGGGAGGGTAAGTATGACCCTTGGCACTGCCATTTGCAGTCACTGCCATGCCTTACACCAGACCACCTCTTTCTGTTCACCGTTGTGGCATTCTCATTTCCTTTATGCACTGCCATCGCTGCTGCTTCACAAAGGCACTGAGAGCATCATCCCCCTTGCCGCAGAGCTTGATCCTTATGGTGGAGCTGTGATACCTTCCCCAGAGTTGGGATGTCCCCATCCTGTGAATGTAGTTAAAGCTGTAAATGCTTCTAAGTAATGAACTTAACTTGAAGGAAAGAACCTTCTGCAGCTGAATAAGAAAACACTTCACCAAGAGCTTACTGGTTTGGCTTGCATGCACTAAGAGGAGCTATGCTGAATAGCCAGAGCATCTGGTGGGGAGTTTGGACTCATAAGGTTGAATATCTAGGGATGAAACAGCCTGCTGCTGCTCACCAAGGGTTGCCAAAACACAGTAATGTTCAGTAGAGCTTTAACCCCATCAAAATCCAGATGAAGTCAGCTGCGGTGTGCTGGGTAGTGAGGGCAGCAGGCTCAGAAGGGATTTGTTTGGGGCTTATTAAAAGGTAGGTCATGCAGGCATGAATTTGCTCTGAGATGTGGTTCCTGTGGTCAGCTATGGCAGAGCCTCTGCCTGTCGGTAGAGCTTTGTTTTCCTAAGAGAGGGGGGCTTTGCCTTCACTCAGCCATAGAAACCAAGGAGATAATGTTTCCTTGGAGGTGCCCTTTGGTCCCTCATCAGCAAAGTGGACAAAGTTTTGCATTCCATCAGCTGTGAGAATGGGGTAAATTGTATTTATCAACTAGGAATAACCTACAAAAACAAGAGTTTGTGCTGACAGGGTATTTTGTGGATCACAAGGGAAGGGTCAGTGAGAGCATCCAGAAAGCATTCCTGCACCTAATGGTTAACTCCTTTAAAAGCCTCACTGGCTGCATTCGAGGCAGGGCAGGGTAGCGTGACTGAAGTGCAGGGATTTCAGGGGCCTCTGCAAAGTCTTTGAGAAGGAAGATTAGAAATGTCCCTAAAGTTAACCTGGTAATAAACTGAAGTGGAAAAGAGCCTTCCAATTATCTCACCATGGGCTGGAAGGAGAATTGGGATTCACTGGGGGTTGTGGTGACAGAATCCCATTCAGAAAGTGAGCTCATTCCTTCCCTGAGCACTAAGTTTACCTGCTCCGTCCCTGTTGAGGTTGCTCTGGGACTTTGCTCCATTACTTCAGTGCCTTCTTCCTCCAGCATCCAGTCTGTATGATTTCACAGCCAGTTTCTACCCTTTGGATTTGTGACAACTTTGTCTTAAGCTTAAAGAGATCTTTTCCTTTACTGGCATGTAACTCCCTATTAGAGGGGAGACTGTTGTGCCCTTCTCATCACTGTAAAGTCAAACCTCACCTGGGACCGAACAGAAAGTTGTTCTCTGGTGTTTGGGCCATGAGGCTAGAAAGTGAGGAGTCCCTAAGGGCTTTCAGCATCCCTACTATGGGACACAGTTGCCACCTACTGGCTGTCCTTCCAGAAGCCTGAGCTAGTGGGAAGTGTTTCATAGGTGGTGGCAAACAAATTAGCATCTCACTGCCCTCAATCCCTTTCCATCCTAATTGGGGGATACGGGGCTTAATGGGAGAAACTGGGGCTGTGTCTCCAAGTCTACCTTTGCACTCACCAGCAGTGTTATCTTGCTGCCTTCAGAAATGAGGACCAGCTCAGCCTTGTTTCATTCATCAGGTTGCAGTATGCACAAAAAGAGGAGAAGGCAGCAGAGCATGGAGAGATCTTCTCAGTTCACAATCATCCTTCCCTGTGCCACTCTGCTGCTTTGTGACAAAGGGTTGTCAGTTTTAGGCCATTCACATAAAACCCCATGAGGATCATTTTTATGTTGAAATGATTTTTTTCCCTGAAAAAATATATAAAATATATTCATATATATAAAATTTATATGAAAAGAATATATAAAAACTGACTCATATAACTTCAGTTGCCAGAAGTTAAACAGGAGAAGGTGACTTGGCTCATTTGAAGTCATGGAGTGAAAGTAGCCTTCATCTCATGTTCCTTGGTTAGCCCGAGGTGGAGCCCTGTTGACTCACTTGCTCTAGACACTAACTTCTGGATAGCTAAAATAGGGGAAGGAGATCCTTATTCTCTGCCCTGGGCTTGGGATGTGGCCAAACCTCCAACATTAGAGCTGCATGTGAGCAAGATGACAAAAGTCCTTTGGTGAGAGGCTTGAGAGAAATGAGTCCTACAAGGGCAGTAATGAAGGAGCAAGACAAAAGAGAGCTGCCTAAGACTGGAAGGAGAACAAGCACCCATTGGAATAACGCCCCCAGGGAAGTGGTGACTCCCCATCACTGGACACTGTTAAGATGGGGCTGGACAGGGTGCTGGGACATCTAGTCTGGGTTGTGCTTTGCCTCAAGGAGTTGGACCAGATGATCCTTGAGATCTCTTTCAACCTGGGATTCTCTGGTTCTATGACAGCTTTGCTCATTCAAGTGCCACAGAGGGCATGGGATGGACCTAAGACCGTTTCCAGTATGTCAGGACTCTGTGGGACAGGACAAGGTTTCAAACTGCAGCAGAAATAGGTTTGCCTAGGCAGGGATTGTAGAGAAGAACATATTGCAGGGGGAGACTTAGGAGATCTGTTGTGGATTTATCAGAACAGGTCAGACAGACATCCGTCAGGAATGGTTTGGATCCAGCTGGTCCTGCTTTGAGATACAGCAATGACCTTAAGGTTTCTTCCATCTCTAGTTTCTCATGATTTGTGGGATGCAGGAGGTATGTATAGATATGTGCTGGCTTTGGAGGTATATTTTGCAAATAGAAGCTTGACTTGAAGCTCTGAACCTTAACTGAGGAGCATCCGAAGTATGAACTAAGGCTTGAATTCACGCTGTGCATGAGCAGTGCTGAGTATGAACTGATTTAATTTGGGACTTATGTTCCAGTTTTGCTCCAGGCTCCACCCTGCATCTTTGACTTGACCATCATCTTTCATCCAGCTTGTGAAATGCCTTGATTTTTCTGGCTTCCACGCTCCATCCAAGCAATCAAAGCCTCTTGGCAGCCTCTCACTGTCCCTATAAACCTTCATGTGCTTCTCCTGCAGACCTACACTGGTTCTATACTGGTGGCAGTAAACCCCTACCAGCTGCTACCCATCTACTCACCGGAGCAGATACGCCTGTACACCAACAAAAAGATTGGTGAGATGCCACCACACATCTTCGCGATCGCCGACAACTGCTACTTCAACATGCAGCGCAACAACAAGGACCAGTGCTGTATCATAAGGTGAGTTGTGAACCTCCCAATGGGCCCTCTCCTGAAAATGGATGATGAGCACTCTGCAATGTGGTTGATAGGAACAGCTTATCAAATAGAAACAGCAAGCTGAGTGACCCATTAGATCTTCCATTCCAGTCCGGAGTTGGCCACTGTTTGTAGTCACTGTTCCTAGTAAAGATGCTTCATCAATCCTATGGTACTTACCCCACAACCCAATAGATCTCATATTCATCTTTAACCTCCCCTTTTAAATTTAAACTCAATACTCCTGCAGACATCAAAGATGCAAAGATCTGCACATTCTGCACAAGGAAGGGCCAGGAATAAACTTGATTGCTGGACCTGTGGTTGTTCTCAGTGGTACACTGATGTCTTCCTGCATGGCACTGCTCTGGACCAACCAACCTTAAGCATCCTTAAGCCCAGTATTTCAGACACATGAGACTGCACAGGCCATGCAGTAATGATTACTTTGCAGGGCTAAAAATGCTTCATATGGGAGAGTCAAGGCTAGATATGATGCAGTGGCCAGCCAGCTCTGAGAAGTGAAGCTGTTAAGCCATGGGGACAGGGATGGTTACTGTATGCCAGGAAGGTCCATTTCTGTCACTGGTATTTGCTAGCCCATATATCAGACAAGCCATAGACTCACACCAAGAGGTTTCTGCTCAGCCCTTCCTCTTGTACCATCACAAGATTAACAGAAGTTATCTCTCAGTGAAGAGAAAGCTTTGAGGAGTAGCTTTTGCGTCCTGCCCTGTAATCTCTCATACCTGTCCCCTTGGTAGGACAAGCCTAGGGGACCTGTGAAAGTGCCTGCTGATAAAAGGCAGCATTTCACAGTCTGCTTTCTAGTGCATTTTGGCAGCTAAAACTGGTGATGGAGAGCAACCTGATCTAGTGGAGGGTGTCCCTGCCTGTGGCAGGGGATTGGAACTAAATGAACTTTAAGTTCCTTTCCAACTCAAACCATTCTATGATTCTAAGATGCCCCATGGGACCAGCTAGCCCCTGCAGCACAGGTTCATAGTCTGCTGATCAAACCCAGAAAAGCACTGCCTGGATGTACTTCATGCCCTTCTTAGTGCCGTTTGAATGATGGTATTTGCTGGAGCTTGGGTTAAATATACTGCACAGCAAATCTGGATCTTGGCTGGTAGCTGTGTCCTACCATTTGTCCCACAACAAGTCCCTGAGATGCTAGAAGCCCATCCTTAGTGGCCTCATCTTACCTACGCCAACAGCGGAGGCACAGAGAGAGCAGTCCCTTTGGAACACAGAGAGAGCATCATTGGCAGGGATACAGCGGAGCTTCCACTGACCTCGATTCCTGTTGTCTTCACAGTGGTGAATCCGGAGCAGGGAAAACAGAAAGCACAAAACTGATCCTGCAGTTCCTGGCAGCGATCAGCGGCCAGCACTCCTGGATTGAGCAGCAGGTCCTGGAGGCAAACCCCATCCTGGAAGGTGAGGCCTCAGATGATGTACAAATGAACTGGGAAATAAGGAAACCAAACCAGATCCAGGAAACACATTGTTCCCATGGCAGGGGGTTGGAACTGGGTGATCTCTGGTCCTTTCCAACCCAAACCATTCTATGAGTCTATAAGCAGCGATGTGACCATTTGTCGAGCAACATATTCGCTTTCTTTCTCTCTGAGTTCGTCTTTCACAACAGTGATGTTCTCTGATTTGGGCTCTCAGATTTGCTGTTTGCATTTTTGACAACTCTTGTTGAAGCATTTCAGCTGACCTGAAATTCTTTTCAATTCTTTTGTTCACTTAAAATAGAAAAATTTGGATTTTTTTTCCACTTAAATCAGTAATTTTTTCCCCCAAAATTTCAAAACAGAAACTTGAATTTTCCCTAATTCCCTGCGTGTATTCTGGGATTCCAAAAATCACCAAATACACACAGCCCTATTGAAAACTCTTACCACCTCTTCCAGTGCTGGAATTTAACTGGATGCAGAGCACCAATACCCTGTAGATGCTGCGTTTAACTAATTGTTCCATTTGACCACAGTTCCAAAACTCCTATTCCTGTTATTTGCTGGTTCAGCAGAACATGAGATTAATTTGAGCAGAGCTTCATAGATTAAACACTTTATGCTGGCAACACACAACAGCAAATCCCACCTTTTCCTTTCAAGGTCAGTGAATGGCAGCGGAATGCAGAATAAGAAATAAAGGCAGTTCAAGAAAGAACCAGATAATGAGAATCAGCTCATGACTTTAATAGATTCATTGGCAAGCTGTTACTGTGATCAGCCCCACTGTTTTAATGGGATGTCTGTAAATTAAAGAGGTGATCCCCCTCTCTGGCCCTAGCGTGATGCCAGATGGACCTTTCACACTTAAGTGGGAAAATAGCATGTTCCTTAATAACAACGTTATTTTTACCTCCCCTGCTACTTACAGTGATCAGAGGCTTGCTTGTTAAATAGCCCCCCTAGGAATCAATGTGAATGTGAATATCCCAACTGCTTTCCATGCATCATATTAGCAGAGCAGAGAAGAAAGTCACTGCCTGAGCTGAGCTTCTCTGTGCTCTGTTGGAGCTTCCATCAGCTGTGACATGAGGATGCAAGGAGGCTCAGAGCATCCCAGGGTTGCGTGAGCATTGGTGCTGTAAAGCGCCGTGGTGCATGGCATGCACACAGGGTGGTTTTGAACATGCACTTCATCACTGCAAGGGTTGAGGGGAATGGGAGCCCTGAACTTCAAGTGCATCTCCATCGATCCTGGAGCGTAAATTCCAGGGCACTTAAGGCAGTGGTCCAAACCCACACAGAGGATGGATGTGGGTACCTTTCTCTGCAGAGTCTATTTGCAAGGAGAAGCCTCCTGCTGAAGGCTGGCTTAGGCCTCTGTATTTCCCCAAAGAATAAGCTCTTTCCTTTCCCTCTCCATCACCAAATCACTCACCAGCACCTCTGTCATTTCCCGCTCACTGCAGCATCCTCCACCAGCCTTGCTCAACCCTCTTGTGTTTCATCAGCTGCTGCCAAAATCCTGTTGTCCTAGCCCTTCTTCCTGGATAAGGTCATCCCATTCCTATGCCTCCTCTGTGCTCCTCTCTGTTTCTGAGGACAGTCATCTGAGGTATATCCTGTTTCCCCACACTAAGATGAAACTGAGCGAGCCAAACTTCAGTGAACAGCTTTGGGGCTGATTTTTACCCTCTCAGCCTCGCTCTTTTCTTGCCCATGAGACCAGACCCGTGATCCTCCCCACATCGGGTCCTCTCTAACCCACTGCAGTTCTTCTCTGCAGCTTTTGGGAACGCAAAGACCATTCGGAACGACAACTCCAGCCGGTTCGGGAAGTACATCGACATCCACTTCAACAAAAGGGGAGCCATCGAGGGGGCAAAGATTGAGCAGTACCTGCTGGAGAAGTCCCGGGTCTGCAGGCAGGTGAGGTGATAGACCTGCAAGGTGGCACTTGGTCTATGAACCTTTGTAAGAGTCCTTTAGTACCTAAAGGGGCTGCAGGAAAGCTGGAGAGGGGCTTGGGACAAGGGCCTGTAGGGACAGGCCAAGGGGAATGGCTTGAACCTGCCCGAGGGGAGACTGAGCTGAGCTCTTAGGCAGAAGCTCTTCCCTGTGAGGGTGCTGAGGCGCTGGCACAGGGTGCCCAGAGAAGCTGTGGCTGCCCCATCCCTGGCAGTGTTCAAGGCCAGGTTGGACACAGGGGCTTGGAGCAAGCTGCTCCAGTGGAAGGGGTCCCTGCCTGTGGCACTGGGCTGGAGCTGGAGGAGCTTTAAAGTCCCTCCAACCCAAACCAGTCTGGGATTCTGTGACCTTTGCAGTGCCATTCTCCTCAAAGAGCTGGCTCTTGCTCTCCTACTACAGGCCCAGGACGAGAGGAACTACCACGTGTTTTACTGCATGCTGAGGGGAATGTCGATGGAGCAGAAGAAGAAGCTGGGTCTTGGGAAAGCCACGGATTACAACTACCTTGCAATGGTGAGAGCAGATGTTTGGTGGGGCGATGTAGTGAGACCTTGTTAGCAAGGAGAAAGAGAGAGGTGCTGCTTCCTCCCCAGCCAAGAGCTGCTTTGCTGCTTCCTGAATGATAGCCACAAGATCTGTAGGACTCCTTTGTCCCACCACCACAAGCCTCACAGTCTTCGTGCAAACCCTTAACCCCTTCGGATAGACCAGGTTATTTCCACTCTTCCTGTGGAGTGGGCTTGGATGGTTTTGATGTTTGGTGCCCAGGCCACTTGTTTTAGATATAACCCAGTGCTCTTGCAGCAGTGATGGACAGGGAGGAGCAGTGCATGGCTCATGGTGCATTCTCAGCAGCATAGGATGCTGACCCGTCTCTACTCCACATGTCTGAGTGATCCAGCAATCCCCAGGCCCACTCCCTATACACCAGTATTCCAATCCAGAGGAGCTGGTAGAAGCAGTTGTAATTAAGGCTGGTTCATCAGCACCAAGGCTGGGACCCACCTTTCTAGCTGGATCAGTGAGAGCCTCCAGCACATTTCCTTCTTGCTCTTTATCCCCATCTAAGAGCCTCCAGCACATTTCCTTCTTGCTCTTTATCCCCATCTCAGGATGCTTTTTCTCCTCTGCTGATTGCAGCCAGACACGAGGTAGCTGGGGACAGTGGGGTAAGTGCAGGTCACAAGGCTGAGCGTAGAATCATTGTGTACACCAAAGCAGAGAGCCAGATCCACAGGTTCATCATCATCTTTTGCTTATTCATCCCTTTAACAATATATCTACTGATGCGGGGGGATGGATAGCTTAAGGTTATACCCAGATGCTCTCTGGTTTACCCATGCTCTGTGTCACCTCTCTGCCTACCCAGGGTAACTGCACAACCTGCGATGGCAGAGATGACAGCAAGGAGTACGCCAATATCCGCTCCGCAATGAAGGTCCTTATGTTCACTGACACGGAGAACTGGGAGATCTCCAAGCTGCTGGCTGCCATCCTGCACATGGGCAACCTGCAGTATGAAGGTAACGGGACAAGGGACGTGGTCCAGCACACTGCTACTCTTTATTCTGATGGTGAGAGGGAGCCAAGCTTAGGGATTGAGGGCTGTATCCAGACCACTTGCCACGGTGCCATGCCAGGGAATCAGATGCTTATTGTGGTGTGAAAGGACAAGAAAGGAGGAATAAATCCACTTGCCCACTCTGTAGAGCTGCCAGACTGCAGTGTGCTCAGTGACACCCACCTTTTCTGGATGCAGGGAGGCTGAACATGGCCACAGGCCATTTAGTAGACTCGGGTTTTGCAAGGAGAGATTAATGGAGTGTTTGACAAGTGCCTGTGCGATTCGATATGTCTTTGTGAAGGTACCAAACTGCCCTGCTCTCAGGAGTGACACTGATTTTAAAAGCCTCTTTGGAAGATAGAAGCCTAAAGCACTTACATGCTAGAAACGTCTTTACCTCATCAGTCATTTAGGGTGACTAACACAGCACAGTACACGTCCTTCGCAGCCAGCAGCAGGACTCCATAAGATGCATTATTCTCTTTCTGATGGCCAGATTTTGCCTGCCCGTCACACAGAGGTAGTGAAGAAAGACCCATTCCCTCACCCTATCCAAGTCCCTTGCTGATGGCTTTCCCTCTGCCTTTCTTCCCCCAGCTCGGACCTATGACAACCTGGATGCCTGTGAAGTTGTTCAGTCAGCGTCACTCATCACTGCAGCATCGTTGCTGGAGGTCAGTGGTCCTGCAGTGTTGCTGTCCCCTGTCTGGCTTGTTCTGTATTCCTGGTGTTGTGTCAAAGCTCTCATTGCACCACCAGCATTATGAGGCTGAAGAGGCCTGGGTAAGCCATACTTTGCCATGCACTGATGGAATGAAGGTAGATGTCTCCATCTGAGCTGGGGATCTGAGTTCTCCTTCGTGCCAGTGGAGAGAAACAGTCGCTTTGATGGCACATCATCCTGAAAAGGACATCCAAATAACTCAGTCCCCAAAATACAGTGTGTCCCTCATTGATGGAAAGAGTTCGGTAGCTGCAATGGAGATGTCACACTGTTTGCATGTGAGGTGAGATGACCCTCAGCCAAACCACCCATAGACTGGCTGGAACATTCTTCAGAAGGTAACAGGTTTCCCTCAGGGACACCATCTCAACTCCATAGGCAGTGCTGGTCCCACAGTGTGCTCCATGGCTGTCTGCAAGCTGTTTCCATGTACCTTAGGGAGTGGACATTTCCCGGCTTGATCTTTCAAGTATGAAAAGGAATCAGGGGGATGCAAAGCTACCTTCATGCTGGGAGGACACAGCTTTGCTTTGTCATCTTAGAATCATAGAATCATAGAATGGTTAGGGTTGGAAAGGACCTTAAGATCATCCAGTTCCAACCCCCCCGCCATGGGCAGAGACACCTCACACTAAACCATGGCACCCAAGGTTCTGTCCAACCTGGCCTTGAACACTGCCAGGGATGGAGCATTCACAACCTCCCTGGGCAGCCTATCTCCCCTCCCAACACCTCATGAACATCTCACACCAAGCCACAAGAACACTTTCCATAGTAAAACACTGTATACAAGTGTTAATTACTCCCTGAAAATGCCTTCAGCATCATGTGAGATACTTGCCCTGTACAGCTAAGAAAAGTCACCTCCCGCTATGGGGGGCTGCACTGTTCCTCTCTGGCCATACACATTCAGGCCAGTAGCCCAGACCGTTGTAAGGACACCTTGTGCGATGAAGTCATCAGCTGTGTTCCATGGTGTCCTCACCAGGTTGATCCTCAGGACGTGATGAACTGCCTTACGAGCAGGACCATCATCACCAGGGGTGAGACCGTCTCCACTCCTCTCAGCATGGAACAAGCGCTGGATGTGAGGGATGCTTTTGTAAAGGTAAGTCTTAGGGAATTCCCTTCTAATTCTGCTGATAAGCTGAAGGAATCTGCCACTTTGGAGACCGGAGCATCCCCTGCACAGAAAAGGTGCCTTGCTTGGTTCCTGTGTGAGCTCAGATCAGTAGATGACCTTGAAACTGTTTTCTCATTGGGATGCACAAAGAGTTGTGATGAAGGCAGTCTAGATAGCATGGTCTTCAGGGGATTTGTAATCTGGACTTGAGGCCGTCTGTTCTCAAAAGTGACCTATGGAAGGAGCCAGAATTCTGGAATCACCTCACCCGAACTTCGGGAAAACATCCCAGCTTGAGCCCCAGGGTTAGATCCTCAGCTGCTATAAATCAGAGCAGCTCTATCAGCACCTAGAATACCCACACCTGGATTTGGGGATCTGGGCACGTCTGCAGCAGTGAATAAAGCTGAACATCAAAGGAATGTGAATAGGGATAGAGCAGTTCAGCAGCTATCAGGGCACCTACAGAGAGCATCACCTGAGGCTTTGGGGTGAGGAAGGTGGATGGGGTGTGTCTGCATCACTGCTGTGCTGTCGGTTGCTCTGTGTAAGGTTGCAGAAGGTATTCTAGCCCTATGTAAGGTTGCTATCTCAGTAGCATCCTTTGGCCATCTTGGGCCACACAGCCTATTTGTGGGGAGCTGGTAGATGAAGCTAGCTGGTGCGATACCTAACTAGTCTGAAATCCAGACAGTGACTTTTCTAGTGGTGATGGGCCCTTGAATCAGATTTCCCTCATTTTAGCACTGCTGTAGCTTATCTATAAGAGATTAATAGCACTGTAAAACATGGAGTTCTGGAATTCCTGAAGCAGCAAGAGCTGCTTCATTCAGTCAGCAGGCTGTTTAGCCATGTAAGTCAGCAGCTTGCAAGGTGCTTGCAAGGACATCCAGGCAAGATGGCCTTGGCTGTTCTAGGAGTGTAGCATAGATCTGCTCATCTATAGAAAGGGATGCTTAGAAAGCAAGGGAAGGACTGTCTGGCTTTGCAGTGAACCCATAAATCCAAAACATAGGACTATCCAAATCTGGGGATTTGTTTTCAACTATTTTTAAGCTCTCAGGTCCATTTTCCTTGATCTACATAACAGCTCTTGAAGCATTAAACTATGCCAAGAGTGTGGCATAAATGATGAGCATGTCCTCAGTTGCTGGCCATGCTTTAGGGGAGCCTATGCCACAGTGAGTGAGCTGGTGCTGCAGATGAGCAGGGGAACTGCTAACCTGAGTGATCCCCATCTTTGGGATGTTGCAGGGAATTTATGGGCGCCTTTTCGTGTGGATCGTGGAGAAGATCAATGCTGCCATTTACAGACCTCCTTCCCAGGAGCTCAAGAGTGTCAGGAGATCCATCGGCCTCCTTGACATCTTCGGCTTTGAAAACTTCACTGTGAACAGGTATGGAGCCTGCAAAAGGAGAACCAGGTCGTAACCCTCCTTCACCACCCCAATGTCTTGCAGTCCTTTCACCTCACCTCCTGGGCCAAGCCTTTTCCTACAGGAGAGATTATCAGAGCTAATGGGGCTTGGAGCAACCTGCTCCAGTGGAAAGGGTCCCTACCCATGGCAGGGGGTTGGAACTGGATGAGCTTTATGGTCCCTTCCAACCCAAACCATTCTATGATTCTATGATAATCACTTTTATGTTCCAGCAGACAACATGTTTCATAAACTCGTTGGCTTAGACCACACATATAATGGCTATAGCCATATATATTATTATTATAATAATTATATATATATTTGTATTATTATAATTTATATATATATGTATTGTCTGTTGGGAGAAGAAAATGATTATTTAAACCAAATTCTCACCCAACAGCAATTTGACTGAGTGGTTGGTGTGATCTAAGAGTATTGCTTCAAGCATGGCGAGAGATGGAGAAAGATAGAATCATAAAATAGGTAGGGTTGGAAAGGACCTTAAGATCATCCAGTTCCAACCCCCTGCCATGGGCAGGGACACCTCACACTAAACCATGGCACCCAAGGCTCTGTCCAACCTGGCCTTGAACACTGCCAGGGATGGAGCATTCACAACCTCCCCTGGGCAACCCATTCCAGTGCCTCAGCACCCTTACAGTAAAGAATTTCCTCCTTATATCCAATCTAAACTACCCCTGTTTCAGTTTTAACCCCTTACCCCTTGTCCTATCACTGCAGTCCCTAATGAAGAGTCCCTCCCCAGCATCCTTCTATAGGCCCCCTTCAGACACTGGAAGCTTCTCTGAGGTCTTCACACAGCTTCACTTCTCCAGGCTGAACAGCCCCAACTTTCTCATCCTCTCTTCATACTGGAGGTGCTCCTGATAGACCACAATGGATCTGATGTGGCTTTTCCTTTATCTTCTCTCCACAGTTTCGAGCAGCTTTGCATTAACTTTGCAAACGAAAACCTGCAGCAGTTCTTCGTGCGCCACGTCTTCAAACTCGAGCAGGAGGAGTACAACCTGGAGAACATCAACTGGCAGCACATCGAGTTCACTGATAACCAGGATGCCTTGGACATGATCGCCATCAAGCCCATGAACATCATCTCCCTCATTGACGAGGAGAGCAAGTTCCCCAAGGTGTGTTTTGGGCTCAGCCCTGCTGCCAGTGACCATCCTCTTTGCACTTGCACACTGGTACCCTATGAGAGGTCTGATCACCCCAAGCACACATTCACCTTTCATTGGTTTTATTGTTCTGTCAGATTGTCTTCCATGAATATCACAACTGTGTTTGAAAACAGTTAGCGTTTCTGATGGAAGAATATAACTGCAAGAGGGTCCAGAATAACTCTTGGCAATGTTTAAGTGAAAATAACGTTAAATATACTCCCTGAGCACTATCTTGAACGTAGCATGACATATCAGTGATATTTAATCCACTTCCTTAATTTGTGCATTTGAGGTCTCCCCTCCAACACATCTCTTCTCAAAATAAATACAAAACAAGGATAAACAAGAGAGGCACTATTGACTGGAAAATAATTGTCATGGGACAAACCCTGGTTAAATGTCAGATCTCTCACTACAAGAGAGACATTGAGGTGTGAAGTGGGGCCAGAGAAGGGCAGCAGAGCTGGTGCAGGGCCTGGAGCCCAAGTGTGATGGGGAAGGGCTGAGGGACCTGGGGGGGTCAGTCTGGAGAAGGCTCAGGGGGGACCTGATGGCTCCCTACAAGTGCCTGACAGGAGGATGGAGCCAGGAGGGACTGGGCTCTGCTCCCAAGGAACAAGGGATGGGACAAGAGGAACCGGCCTCAAGCTGCACCAGGGCAGGTTTAGATGGAGCTGAGGACCAATTCCTGCCCCAGAGGGTGCTCAGGCATTGGAACAGGCTGCCCAGGGCAGGGCTGCAGGCACCATCCCTGCAAGGGTTCACACCCCGTGGAGACGAGGCCTCAGTGCCATGGGGCAGTGGTGGCCTTGGCAGTGCTGGGCGATGGTTGGACTGGATGAGCTTAAAGGGCTTTTCCAACCTGGTTGGTTCTATATTCTATGATCTTTTCCTGCACGCACAGGGTACAGATGCCACCATGTTACACAAGCTGAACTCCCAACACAAGCTGAACACCAACTATATTCCTCCGAAGAATAACTATGAAACCCAGTTTGGCATTAACCACTTTGCTGGAATCGTTTACTATGAAACAAAAGGTATGGGGCAGCTCATGGGGCACTGCAGGTGTGCAGGGATGTTTGGAGCAAGGTGAGATGCTGCTGCGTTGGAGCACAGCAGGATGGTAGCACATAGTAGTGTCTCTGTACTCCTTTTCTGGCTGCAGTGGCTTGCCCCTTCAGTGATGCCCATGAGCTGTGTTTGGTGCTGTTTTGTTCGTGCATGTCCATGACAGAATTGCAGTGCTTTGCACCACTTGCATCTCTGTTCTTACCTCAAGATGTGCCTGTCTTCCTTCTCTTGGTTCCCCTTTCTCTGCCCATTCATTCCTCCTATTACATCCCAAAGAACAGCCAGTAGCTCATCAATCCAGAAGCTGCTTGCAGGGCACGTCCTGCCCACGTTGCAATGTGTCATCTGTGTGTTGTCCCATTATTTCTCTAGGTTTCTTGGAGAAAAACAGGGACACGCTGCATGGAGACATCATCCAGCTGGTGCATTCCTCCAAAAACAAATTCATCAAGCAGATCTTCCAAGCAGATGTGGCAATGGTTGGTAATGGAGGCTGGAGAAAGCCTTTACTCACAAGGAGGGGTGTTTCTGGAAGGGGTGGAAGGTTTGCCAAGAGTTTCATTGCTCTGATGCTCCTTGGGGCGTTTCAAACTGGAAAGTGTTGGTGCAGTGTGATGGGTACATTCACACTCATGCTCCCAGTTCACTGCATTTGGTTCACCAGGTATTATTTTGTGCTGTGATTGCTTCTCTCCTAATTGTGTAGGGATGGGGAAAATAAGTTAGATTATAAGGGACAATAAAGTGATTGTAGAGAGATCTGAGAGAGGAGGAGCTAGACCCTCCTGCTGAGTAGTTGAAGTCTGTGCATAATGGAGTGAGAAGTGAAAACCAAACACTTGTAGACCACAGCGGAACAAAGGGACAATCTCTCTGGCCCTTAAGCACCACAGCAGGACTGGGATGGACCAGCCAACAGTCATCTTTTACCATTATGACAGCAGAGAAAGGGGACGTCAGTTATGAAAACTGAACTTTAAAGCTCCCCTTTCCACATCCCAGGCCTCCAGGCAGATATGTGCTTACTCCGTGCTCAGTGCAGAAGACTCTGTGTGCTCGAGCTTTAGAGAAATGCAGTTATTGCTTCAACTCTTCCCACTTTGTTACTGGGATACCAGCTTGAATGCTGGGATTAGTGACTATTTCAACATTAATAACACAAATATATGATGGTTTCTTAAGCTGAACACTTGCATCTCCCCACTAAGACATCATAAACCCTGCTCCCAAAATCAAAGTAGAAACTGGTTTAGGATATCAGCCTAGCAGAACCTGGAAGTCTACCCAGATGGGTCTATGCCAAAGACTTCCTCTAGGCTAAGCCATAGGGACTGCAGTGGATGTAGGGATAACCTTTTCCAAAGCAACCAAGTGTTTCAGAAGAGCCCTGTTTCCAAATGCCAGCCAATGCCACTGATGGTCCAAGGGACTTAGGGACTTTCAGAAGTGCCAAACAGATTTGATGATGAATTCCTTTGCTTGAAATGCTTAAATTCCCAATAAATTACTTTAAATAGGCTGCAGACACGCAAGCCTTTACACTTTAGGCACTCAGTTTTGCTCCTGCTGAAACGAATGATCAATCCTTTTGACTTCATTAGGAACAAGATAACCTTGATCAGCCCTAATTAACTTCCAATTGACATGATGCTGCCAGTGAGTTCAGAGCTATCCCCAGATGTGGATACTTCTGCTGAACTAGACGCTAACTCCCTTAGCATTGGTGCTGCCATTTACCTTGCTTTTTATTGCTTACCCCTCACTGCTTTTTGGTTTTGGTGCAAGCTTTGCCGTTCTGAGAGCAAAAACTGTGTCCCTGCTCCCCTAATCATGCACAATGTAAGTGTGAACTGGGACAACACAAATCCCCTAAACCCCAGGCAAACGAAACTGCTCGGGGAAGCAGGATCTAACATCATGAGATGATTTTGCCATTGCTTTCCACCAAAATCCCATATCTTGCAGTTCCTTTATTAAAACACATTTCCCAAAAGAAGGAGCAAATGAGCCTAGGTTATGGGAATTGAATGCAAGTAGCAAAGAGCTGGGCCAAAGGCTCTTCTTGGAAGTGTGCATATCTTCCCTGAACATCATTCATGGATTGTCTATGGAGAAACCTTCCAGAGACACTCAAGCCAGGTCAACCAAATCGAGCATCTTCCCTTAAAAAGAGATGAATGGCTGCTTTGCTAAGGGCTACATCAAATAATGAGGCATTTTGCTCAATAGTATCCAGTCTTTGGCCCTCAAGAGCTTATTGATGAGTTTGTAGGAGTCAGTGAAAAGCAAGTCCGTAACTGCTGTACATTCAGTCTTTCAAATGGGACCCTTATAATCCAGAAACTTGAGAAAGCCACAGATCAGAGAAGTCTGAAAACCAGTTGAGTGCATATTAGAATAGTGTAGTAACTGTCTGAGAGACCCAACATCTGTGTGCAACGGAACCCGTGTGGTGAACTGGGTATTGCTGGAGCACACAGGGCTGTGAAGCCTGATCAATGCATGTCCATCACGGAGGTCTATCTGCATGTATCTGCTGAATCAGAGCATTGCTTTGAGTGGTGCCAGATGGAATGATGGGTTCAGTGGGAATTGTCCACTGATCCTCTGAGGTATCAGCTGGTGTGGTCTGACAGTGCTGCATGCTCAAGGAACAGGTAGAAGGAGCGGTAGAGGATGGGAAGTGGTGAAGGGAAAAACAAATAGGAAATCTGGGGGCTTTCCCTTTGGCAAAAAATCCAATTGTGTAGAAAATATCTGATTTTGATTTAAATTGGAGAGGAAAGGAAGGGTTTCCTTGGAATATTTGTGGAATTTGTTTGTTGGGGTTTCTTCCCTGGCATCTTCCCAATTGCTGTGTATTGAGAACAGCGGTCACAGGAGAGCAGGGATGTGTGAGGGAGGAGCAAGGATAGCTAAAATCGTATGGATAAATGAGTGAGGTTAAGAGATGTAGAAGGCTTGTTTCCAAGAGGCAAGATCTTCAGGAATGTGAACTTGGAGAAGAATGGGAAAAGCCAGGAGGGGGATAGACAGAAATCTAAGCATTATTGCCTTTTATTTGGGAGCTACTTTAGCACCAGGACCTCCAACACTAAACAACATCAGGTGCCCATTGCAGTTATTCCTTCTTTTCACTGTTTGCTCTTCTCTGTCTCTGTTTTGTTTTGTTTTCACCTGTGCTTCATGTAGTTTCTCTGTGGCTATGCATCCAGCACATTTGGCCAGTCGCCCTCGCCCACACCCACACCAAAGGTAAACTGAATCCATGAGCTTCCTCTGTTGTGTATTCACCTCTCCTTGGCAAGGATTGTGCTTTGCTCTTGTCAGCTTATTCCTCTTCCTGTGCTATCTACAGAGGGTCCGTTTCAAGTGACTGATGTGATAGAGAGCATCCTTATGGCTTGTTGAATACATACAGGTGTATGACTGTGTCAGTTATATCTAGAATTCAACTCAGAAGAGCTTTGTAATGATGGGAATTTGGTTTGGATAAATCAGAACCAGCCCAAGGCTAAGTTTTGAGGACTCATTTCAATTAATTCTCGATGGATCATGTGTGGGGTTTGGCTGTTCTTTATCATGGTGCCACCATTGGCTTCAGTGGGACATTATTCCTCCAGGCAACAGCAAATCTGGCCCTATTCTGCTCCTTTTGGGGCAGGAAGCTGACAGTTCATGTGCTAAGAGGGACTCCTGGATTGCATTTCTGGGTTGCTTCGAAATGCCATCATTCTCATGGGGGGTTAGCTCTTGTTCAGAGGCGAGCTCAAATCTGAACCTTCAAAGACATAGTTGATATTGAACTTTGCCATGATCATCGAAACAGACACTTGGCACCATTTTTAAGGTCTTTTCTGTTGCATCTCATATCCAGACTGGTTCTGATAGCTTCCCAAACCTTTGTTACGAGATATTTGGCCATAGGGTAGCATACCGTGTGGTAAAGGTTTGTGATGTTAACTATGCAACTGCTCACATTTCCACAACAGTCTTTCAATAGCCAACGGGTTATGTTGCAGATAGACCTGACTTTCAAAATCCAGATCCTTGCATGGGGCTGAATTTCAACCCTTCTTACCTCTGCAATGTCTCAGATGTTTGGACTTGGAATTCCAATGAGGGGGATCTGACCCAAAATGATCCATTCATTCCAGAGCTGAACTCCTTCCCCTCCGAATCATGATTGCAAATGGTTTGGATTGCGACATCTCTACAGTTCTAGAGCTGTAGCAATGCCACACACACATGGAAATAATCCTTCCTTGAGTTAGGGTATGGTGGGATTAAATCCAGGAGAGAATCATTGTGCAAAAGCTGTCAGAGGTGCCCAGGATGGTCTTTTTGTTTGAAGGCAACAACAGGAGATACAGGGAAATGGAGACATAATACTGATGGTTTCTAGTTTTGTTTGTTGTCATACTTGTTCTCACATGTTTTATAGGTTTTCTAATGAGTATTATTAGTAATAACTGATCAGTAATAACTTAATCAGTAATAACTGATGCATTTGTTAGGAACTGAGGCAAGAATGGAACAGCCAAGCCAAAAAAGGTGTTCCAACTATATCAACATCAGCAAACTTTATAAAGTGAGGCTGTAGCTCAAACCAGTGATACTTGGCACCACTATGTAGCCCATGTCAACTTTGCATCAGAGGATACCTTCTAGGATGCACAGCCTTTAGGATGGAGACTGTCTCTTCACTATATGTCACTGCAGATCCTGCTGTGAGAGGGGCTTCATGTTCAGTGGAGGCCACCCCAGTGACATTTCACATAATAAAATAGCAAACAAAAAGCATTTTTTTTCTCAGAATTGATAGAAAAGGCTGAGAAACAACATCTATGACTCTGTGTCATGTTGCCAGGGCCCATCTGAATGACCTTACAATCCTAAAGGGATGGGAGGATGGTCCTTTGTCCAGAACCTTTCCCCAGAGTACTGCTGGCGGTACATGCTTCTCTCTCCTTCCTTACATCACCTTAAGTAACCCATCTTTCTGCATTTCCACTGAAGCAGGTTGCCATCTCCCCAGCAGACCTAATGCTGATCATAGTGTTCCTGGTGCTCCATGCAACCTTTGCCTTAACGGAGAAGAATACAGCAGGAATAATTCCTAGCATTTCTGGCTCAATGACATTTCCCCTTATACTTGCCTTTCTCCTTGCTTCTTCTTACTTGGCTTGAATGTCACTAAGAAAATAACCTGTTGAATGTCCTATCTGGAACTCCAGGTCTGTATTAACACCGTCCTACCTAACTTAAATCTATGTCCACCTAAATCCACTGAATGAAGAGGGTGCAGATAGGCTTAACTGGTATTTGCTTTCTCATCCCTGGATACATAAGTACCTAAACATGTTCAGGACACCAAAAGAAAGAGTCTGAATAGGTCCCTAGGGAGTTGCAGCTTCACAGAGATACTGGGAAATGTCCCGATGCTCCAGCTATGCTGGTGGGGATCTCAAATACCCCATGCTGGGTGAACATCCCCTTGTGTTCTGCCTTGACTTCTGTCTTTATGTTACTGCAAACAGCCACACGTGTGTCTGTGCCTGTAAAGCTCAGGCTTTGAGATGGCAGCAAGAAATGTCACTGAAGCATATTTGAATGTCTTGCTGGTCTGCGCATCTTTATGACCTCTGTTCTGAGATGGTGCTTCTCTGTAAATCATGTATTATCTTCTCTTTCTTGGTTTTCTCCTCTCCTTTTTCTCCTTTGATGCTGAGCACAGGCTGAGTGATTACTCAGTGCCCCAATCTGGGCTACACCACCAGGGGGTTGGAACTGGATGATCATCAGGTCCTTTCCAGCCCAAACCATTCTATGGTCCTATGAATCCTGCTTGTCCTTCCCCATCACACAGAGGTCCCATCCTCCCTTGTGCTAGGCTCTGTATGGACACCTGTGAAGAGATAGTCACAAAAGATGGGACCTTAGGAGTCCCAAAGATGTTTCAGTCGCAGAGTTTGAAGGCTGTGTCTGGCCAGAAAGAAAGCAGATTGCATTCAGCCCTTTCTCCCTCACGCTACAGAGACTGATCGGGGTTTAGATGAAAATGCTCCCCCTTCACTGTGTTCCTTCCCTGTGAGGGTGCTGAGGCCCTGGCACAGGATGCCCAGAGAAGCTGGGGCTGCCCCATCCCTGGCAGTGCTCAAGGCCAGGTTGGACACAGGGGCTTGGAGCAAGCTGCTCCAGTGGAAGGGGTCCCTGCCCGTGGCAGGGGTTGGAGCTGGAGGAGCTTTAAGGTCCCTTCCAACCTAAACCATTCCATGGTTCTATGGTCCTCCTCTGCAACAAACCCTATATTTTCATTGCCTCACTATGCTGTATTGTCAGGCTGCTCCACAACATTTTGGGGCTATTATGCTGGAATAAGGGAAGAGGTGTGATTGTCCCCACGCTGGTGTTGAGGTGAGGCAGGAGAACACATGATGACTTCAGTGGTGTCACCCTGTCCCTGCAAGAGAAAGATGATGCAAAATACTTATTTGAGTGTTCATCGTGTATCTGAGAGCCCAGTTAGTGCTCATAGATGCGGTGTCCATCATCAAGAGGGCTCTGTGCACAGATATCAGGACCAGGAAGCACATGAATGGATAGGATGGTGCAGTCTTGACAGCAGGAACCCAGAGAATTTCGATAGGAAGACAAGCTGCTTTCTGGCACCATCCCTCCCTTCAGGTCTCAGGTGTAAGGATGGAAACAGCACCAGTGCTTTTCACCAGAGCTGGATGCTTACAAGGCATCAGCAGCCTAGAGAGGCAGGCCTTGATGTATAAGGCCAAACCACTCATGCATTCCCTTGTAGACCCTTGTACAAAGCCTTGCACCCTTCCTACCACCATGGCTGAGAAGTGACCTCTCCCAGCCAATCCCAGTTTGATAAACCTGGCTAAGCATGCAGTTGATTCCAACTTCCAGCCCTGCTCCTACATCTGTGCTGCTTCTAACCCTTGTGGCTATCCTTCCACTTCCCAGAGGTGACCCTTTGCACGTGATTAGCAAAGTAATGGAAAATATCAATCAAAGCTATCCAAACCAGGATCCTTGGTGAAAGAGCCTATTCCTCATTGAGTCTTTGACAGGATGTGAGTGCCAGACTCTACATCCATTAATTACTCTGGTTTTGTTAACAGTTTGTCCTTAAGGATGTATGTTTTCTGGGAGAGATCCCCAATAGCCCCCATGCTCTTCTCGACAAGTAGGCCAGGTTTCCCTGGCGTGTGGATGAGCTGGGTTTTCTCTTGTTGGAATTCCATGATGACTTTGTGTTTGTGCTGACTGAGTTTCTCTCAATGTCGTATCCAACCTGAGCAGTGCAAATGTCTGCCCATGGCAAGGGGGTTGGACTAGGTGATATTGCTAGTCCCTTCTAACCCAAATTATTGGGTGATTCTATGAAATTCCTCAGGTTTGGGGGGTGGGAATGTTATCTGACAGGTTCTTCATGCTATACAATGAAGTGCACATAAAGATTGCGACAAAAGTAAATCTCACCACCTTGCAAAACACAGCAGCAAAGCCAATGCAAATGGGGACTTTGTGACTCCATAGGTGGCTTCACCATCTGCAAAAAAAGAGGATGTTTGGAGGAAAAATGCATTAAAATCCTGCTGGAATCATCCCTTTGGGAAATCCCTGGCCGTTGGGTCATGGCACAGGTCATGGCACAGTTTGCCCTGATGCTGATCCAGAGGGAGTTGCATCCCGGTGCCCAACTCTTCCTCCACCCCACCATCAGTACTTGCTGCCCCACAAAGGCTCCCCGAAGACCAGATCCAGTGAGACACACACAGCAGTACTGTGACCAATGTGTAATGAGCTCAGGTAATAGTGGCTGTCACTTAAAATGAGCTAGGGGCTTCGCTTAGGTTGGAGGTGGTTTACTCAGGTCCTTCCAGGGCAGGGAGAAGACATCTCCATTCTGCTTTAGAAACTCTTGTCCCCAAATGGAGCTTGGTTTATTAATGTAACCAAGGGACCTAAACCAAGCAAAAACACTCAAAATCATCCTGATTCACCCTAAACACCCACCTTTATTTGCTATTCTTTTCCAAACATAACTTGAATCATGCCTGTACTACAGGCTGAGGAATATAGACCTTACCAGAAGATTCTAGAGCTGTTACAGTCACCCTACAGCAGAAGGGCCCCTGGCTTGTTTTTTACTCTACATGGGTCATTGGTCCTAGACTCCATGGAGCAGGGGGTGCTCAGCCTGACATGAGGAACTAGGACAAAGGCAATGCATAGGGAGAGGGAAGGCTAATCCATCCTCAAGGAGCATCCCTTGGCAGATGCATTGCCCCATGCTACAATATGGAGATTTTGGTGACCCAGAAGGGGCTGTTTGCTTTCATGGGCAGATCTCCTTCATGGCTCTCTATACTGCAGATGGGACCTTGAGTCACACAGGGAGGTGTGAGCAGGAGAAATCAAGTTATGGCACTTTTCCTCCTTGGGTAGAGGCGTATGGAGCAGGTTGCTGCAGTCTGGCTATTGCAAGCTCGCCACCTCTGCCCCATTCCTGCCCTGCTCCCTCCTCCAGCCCTGGCTGCCACAGGAGGTTCCAGGGCCGTGGCCGGAGGGGAAAGGCACTGTTATCCTTTCATTTCCTGAGCCTGCTCCGCTGTGGTTTTGCAGGGAGCAGAGACGAGGAAGCGCTCACCAACACTCAGCAGCCAGTTCAAGAGGTCCCTGGAGCTGTTGATGAGGACTCTCAGTGTGTGCCAGCCCTTCTTTGTCCGCTGCATCAAGCCCAATGAGTACAAGAAGCCCATGGTAAGTCCTGCTTTACTCTTCTGGTTGCTTTTCACATAGGACTGCCCGCAGGACCACTCAGCCCTGGGGTTAACAACAGAACTCCTTCAAGCATCAGTGGAGGCAGGATTGATCCTGGGTGCTTAGAAAACCATCCCGAAGGGATGCCAAAGGCTTGGCAAAATCAGGCACTTGCTTTGTGATCCAACAGCACCCCAAAACCTTTTGCAAAGGGAATCTCCTCCCCCCTTTTTCCCAAGGATGACCTCGAGGAATTCACCCTGCAGCCCTTTCTCCTATAGGAAACAGCTCGGAATTTCCTGCATCCCTACCAGAGACTTAGGCTGGGACGCAGGGCATTGGGTTTAGTCCTATGGCAGGGTTCAGTGCTTCCTAAAAGTGATTCTTCTTTCCCTGGGTGTTGTCTACAAAATCTTTGCTCCCAAGGGATCTCACACTGCTTCATCCCTGTTTGATTCTTTCAACCTCTTTTCCTTTGCACCAATTGCAAGACCACAGTTATAAAAACAGGAAAAAGAGGCAAAACAGCGCAAGGGAAAGGTGACAGGAATTATTTTGCTCCGATTCCCAGGGATTTGCCTCAAAAGCAATGAATATTCTGGGGACAAACTTTAAGGAGCGAATGAGAGGGAAGGAGGTGGCTGTAAATCTCCCCACCACAAACTGCTCATGGAGGGGACTCCAAGTTTAGCAGCAAAAGGTAGAGGATGAGGTGGGCACTGAATCCGACTGTCAGCACCTTGCAGGATTGGACTCTGGTGCTGTAAGCCCTCACTGTTAGCTGTTCACCACTCTACAGTGATACTGCTTGGGGAGAAAGAGCTTTATTTAATCCTGATTTCAGCTGCTTGTTTCTGTGAATTGGTTTGCCCCTGCCTTTGCCCTTCAGTAGCAGTGAATCTCACCAAAGCTGCAGCTTTATGTCAATGCCTGTTAGCAAAGCTCACCTGAGTGCAAAAAGCATGAAATACTGCATTTCAGAGCTGTTACATACAAGGAGTGTTTGCTTAAAACTTGGTTTTGCTGTTCAGGGAACATAATGATGCCGGGTGAAAGCGTTGGTGGCTCTCAAAGCAGCTTGCTGTGCCCTTCTGGTTTTGGTGAGCATAAAAAGGCACCTAAGAGCATCCCAATGGAATACTTTGGTTTAATATTTAGCACTATGACTGATCTTAGACTATAATCTGAGCTGAAATCAAAACAAGACGTTCTTTAAGAACTGATGCTGAGAAATAGATGGACATCCTGAACTGATGTTAACAAATTATTCCCAATGCCCTGACTCTGAGCTGCTTTTACACATGAATGTCTGGGGTTTGTTCCGGCACTTTGTGTTCTGTGTAAGCAGTCTGTACTTCATCAAGCCTTGCAAGCACTAAGTCCATGTCCAACCCATTTATCCACAATGCTTTCAGTGGGACATAAACCCAGCCTGAAAGAATCGAACAAAGAGAAATCAATCTCCCCATTAAAGTAATGAGTAGATGAGCTAATACTGAACCAGAGACTGGAGTGCTGTATGATATGAAACGTCCTTTCTTGCTACATTTATTTTTGGCCTTGGTTTAACAATGCAAAGGAAAAGAAAAACCCCAGATAACAGCAAACAGAGCTGTGCGAAAGAGAACATGTTCTGGGAGTTCGTGTTGTGTCCCTGGCTTTGAAGGAAAGCGTGCTGATAGTGATAGGAAATGGGATAGCGGGAAGTGAAAGGTCAGTGGAAAGTCCTGGCTGTTTGTTACTGTGTGTTGTTTTAAAACGTTTGCTTCCTTCTAAAATGTGTTTTAGTGGGGAAAAAACACTGCTTGCATCAGGAGCCTGAATGCAGCTCTCTGGGTCTGGGCATGGTCCCGTGCTGCTGTTTCTGAGCGTTGCTCTGGTGTTCTGGTTAGTCCAAGAGAAAAGCAGGGGATGAATTGAGCAACAAACCATGCAAAGAAGTCAGACCTGTCTTCATTGCTCTGGGCTTCATCAAGCCCTGATGCCAGGAGCACGTAGTCGAAGGGTTACAATATCTGAAGGGGACATATAAGCATCCTGGTGGCGGACTCTTCATCAGGGACTGTAGTGATAGCATAAAGGGGAATGGGTTAAAACTCTAAGAGAGTAGATTTAGGTTGGATGTAAGGCAGAAGCTCTTCCCTGTGAGGGTGCTGAGGCGCTGGCACAGGGTGCCCAGAGAAGCTGTGGCTGCCCCATCCCTGGCAGTGCTCAAGGCCAGGTTGGACACAGGGGCTTGGAGCAAGCTGCTCCAGTGGAAGGGGTCCCTGCGCATGGCAGGGAGTTGGAACTGGATGATCTTAAGGTCCTTTCCAACCCAAACCATTCTATGGTTCCTTGATTCTATGCCTTTGTGATTGTGCTCACCAGTTCTCTCAGCCCTTTGTGTAACGTGTAGGACACATCCCGTCTTGCAAGTGGCAATTAAAGAAACTGAGGGAGTCAAAACACATTCAGAAAGCTGTAAGATCAGGCCCATGACTACCAACAGTCCTCTGGTCCTCAAAGTGAAGGATTTAGGTGGACACCTGACTTGCTTGCCCCACACCTCTTCAGAGTCCCCACTCCCTTATGGCCAATCCATGCCAAACTGTGCAGTCAAACCACTGTGTCCTGTAACCTCCCCAGCTGTTTGACCGGGAGCTGTGCGTCCGTCAGCTGAGGTACTCAGGGATGATGGAGACCATCCGGATCCGCCGAGCCGGATACCCCATCCGCTACACGTTTGTGGAGTTCGTGGACCGGTACCGGGTGCTCATGCCCGGGGTGAAGCCAGCATACAAGCAGGTGAGCATCTTCTTCCATGGGTAATGGTTGCTCTCTGCTGGGCTCTCCAGGGATATTTATGGGTCTGCATCCTCTCCAAAAGCATTAGGCAGCATTTGATGCCCAGATGTTACAGCGGTGCTCAGGGCTTTCCAAGTGAAGGAGAAGTGGGTATGGGGCTGGCAGGGACAGGCAGCTCTGTTGAGTCTGTTCTATCCACTTTAACTGTGGTGACAGTAAAGCTCTGGGAAACTCTGGGTCAGGGCGATCCCAGGCACTGGTACAGGTTGTGTGGAGAAGTGATTCAGAGCAGCCTGAGGAGAAGGCCTTGGGGTGCTGGGTGAGGAGAAGCTCCCCATGACCCGGCTTCAGTGAGCACTTGAGCCCAGAACCCCCCCGTGTGCTGGGCTGCACCCCCAGAGCGTGAGCAGCAGCTCAGGGAGGGGATCCTGCCCCTCTGCTGTGTGAAGGGGAGACCCCCCCTGCAGCCCTGATCCAGCTTTGGGGCAGCAGCACAAGAGGGACGTGGAGCTGTTGGAGCGAGGCCAGAGGAGGCCATGGAGCTGCTGCGAGGGCTGGAGCAGCTCTGCTCTGGAGCCAGGCTGAGAGAGCTGGGCTGGGGCAGCCTGGAGAAGAGAAGGCTCCTGAAGGGGAAACCTTAGAGCAGCTCCAGTGCCTAAAGGGGCTGCAGGAAAGCTGGAGAGGGGCTTGGGACAAGGGCCTGTAGGGACAGGCCAAGGGGAATGGCTTGAACCTGCCTGAGGGGAGACTGAGCTGAGCTCTTAGGCAGAAGCTCTTCCCTGTGAGGGTGCTGAGGCGCTGGCACAGGGTGCCCAGAGAAGCTGTGGCTGCCCCATCCCTGGCAGTGTTCAAGGCCAGGTTGGACACAGGGGCTTGGAGCAAGCTGCTCCAGTGGAAGGGGTCCGTGCCCGTGGCAGGGGTTGGAGCTGGAGGAGCTTTAAGGTCCCATCCAACCCAAACCAGTCTGGGATTCTGTGATTCTAACCTCATTACCCAAACTTCAGGAATCAGGACTGAAAAAGATCCCTGTTGGACCTGGGAGGAGCAATGGGTGTGTCTGGTCCTGATGGAATCCTCCCCCCTCTCCTACCAGGGTGACCTGCGTGGGACATGCCAGCGCATTGCCGAGGCAGTGCTTGGGAGGGATGATGACTGGCAGATTGGCAAGACAAAGATATTCCTGAAGGTAGGTGTTTCTCTGCATCCCTCCTGCCATCCCGGACCCTTGGCCTGTGAAGGGGTCTCCTACCATTCCCTTTCCATAACAAGACAAGACAGTTTCCCATGGTCTTGGCATGGTAGTGGGTAGAACCTGGACCAAGACCAGTGTTAGGAATGGGTGTGCAGGAGGAAGTCCTGATGCTGCCAGCATTGATGCATGCTCATACCCATACAGGTGCAGGAATAGTCCCATACAGATCATGGCTTTTTCCCTTCTGGGTTGAGGCAGTTATCATCTCTTGCCATCACCCATAAAGCATGGCAGCAGGAGGGATGTCCATGCAGAACCCTGCACAGAGAGGGACTGATAGCACAACAGGCTCACATTCAGCACATCGGTTCACAACACAAAAGGTGTCTACAGCCTCCCTTTCTGCATTGGTCCATCTGGTACAGAGCAGCCCAACACTGCAGATCCCCTGCAGCCCCATTTGCACTCATGTCTCCTTACAAACCCTGTGTTGCTCTGGGAAGAGGAGGCTGAGCTGGCCAGGAACCAGGCTGGAAGCAAAGGCTTTTCTCAAGCTAAAATCTCAGCAGTAAGCCCTGACCACTTACATCTGAATTCACCCCCATCACCAGCACAAACACCCCCATCTCTTCCCAAGAAACCATTCCCACTGGTTGCTCTTTCCAGAGCCTGTTATCAAGATCTCACAGCTGTCAGGAAAGGAAATGGGGAAACTGGGAGGCCCCATGGGGCTGCATGAGGTCGAGCAAAGCAGGAAACATGTGAGGTTTGCTGCACCCACCGCGGCAGGGCTCAGCGTGCCACAACCAGGAATGAAAGCAGAGTTACAAACAGCATGGGGGGAATCGATCGAAAGGTTGGACTGGAGCATCTGAAAGCCTCAGGGCAAGGAAATTCAGTGTTTCAATGAGTTTTGTCCTTAGTGTATGGAGACGTTCCAGTCTTGGCTAAAGGGAGTGATGGGATCCAGCAGCCTGAAGTTTGTTCCCAAACCTCTCTAGTGCTCCTAGGAACTGATCCCATGTCTGAAAGCACTAGCAGGGAGCTCTGTGTGGGAAAGCAATGTGATTTGGTTGTTTTGAGACTATGAAGTATTGTGTATGCAGTTCTGGATGCTCTGGTTTGTTTGGGAATAAAGGCAGTAGATGACTAGGGTTTACATTAGGATTTCACCAGTGAGTAGTAGATGGGTTGATGCTGTGGATGTAAAATGTCCCATTTTCAGCTTATTTTGGCCATCTCCTCTGGGAAAGGGCCTTGTAGCACCTTTCCTGCCACGTCAGGCAGATGAAGAGCTTGAGACATGGGTGCTGTGTCGCTTCCTCCCCCAGGACCACCACGACATGCTGCTGGAGATTGAGAGAGACAAGGCCATCACGGACAAAGTCATCCTCATCCAGAAGGTGGTCCGTGGGTTTAAAGACAGGTAGGTGTGAGCCCCACTGCCAAAGGGGAGGTGGGATGTGTGGGATGCTTCACCCAGCAAGTGGTTCCTGGGGGATGCATCTAACCTGCCAAGCCTGCAGCCAGATGGGAGCTATGATGTGCTGGTATTCAGGTACAGCAAGTATTGGAGGAAAACAGTAGAGGAAACAAGAGGAAACCTGTATTATCTGCCCCAAACATGGATAGAATAGGACCTTTTGACCAGTTGACAGACTTGGATGGGGGACAGGTAGCTCATGGGGAGCTCATTGCACAATGGGAGAAGAGGGGGACCCAGAGCCACAGACAAGCTTCAGCCATGGAGGAGGGACAGTTCCTGGAGCTTTGTGCTCTCATGGCTGTGACTCAGGTTGTGCCTTAGGCTTTGTGCAAAGGGCATATAGAATCATAGAATCATAGAATAGTTAGGGTTGGAAAGGACCTTAAGATCATCCAGTTCCAACCCCCTGCCATGGGCAGGGACACCTCACACTAAACCATGGCACCCAAGGCTCTGTCCAACCTGGCCTTGAACACTGCCAGGGATGGAGCATTCACAACCTCCCTGGGCAACCCATTCCAGTGCCTCACCACCCTCACAGTAAAGAACTTCTTCCTTATACCCAATCTAAACTTCCCCTGTTTCAGTTTTAACCCATTACCCCTTGTCCTATCACTTCAGTCCCTAATGAAGAGTCCATCCCCAGCATCCCTATAGGCTGCCTTCAGGGGGGTGGCCTTCAGGCCCCCCTATGAGGTCTCCATGCAGCTTCTCTTCTCCAGGCTGAACAGACCCAACTTTCTCAGCCTGTCTCCATACAGGAGCTGCTCCAGCCCCTGAGCAGCCTCATGGCCTCCTCTGGACTTGTCCCAACAGATCCATGTCCTTTTTATGTTGAGGACACCAGAACTGCACACAGTGCTCCAGGTGAGGTCTCACAAGAGCAAAGGGGCAGGATCACCTCTCTCCCACACTAACCCTAGTGAGACCCCAAACACAAGTGTCCCTGTGGTGTCTGCATGTAGAATGCAGGCCAGAATAAGGACAGAAGGAACAGATGAGGGTACCACGGTGGAGTTGCTGAAGTTTGCACTTGATCGCTTGGGTGATGTTAAATCCATTCTCACGTGCTAGGATTGAAGTGGGAGGAGCACACATTAAAGGGGTTTCAGATGCAGAGGAGGGTGCAGGCTGGGAGGAAGGAGCAGATGATTCTCAGCCTCTCCTGCTCTGCCCATTCCCGTAACCTCAAAGAACCTGCCTGCAGAGACCTTTTGTCATTGATGAGGCCTTGGGTGCCATGGTTTAGTGTGAGGTGTCCCTGCCCATGGCAGGGGGGTTGGAACTGGATGATCTTAAGGTCCTTTCCAACCCTAAGTATTCTATGATTCTATCATTCTATCATTCTATGAAAGCAAGGAGAGATGGGGAAGAAGTCTTTTTCAGGCCAAAAATGCAGCATTTACCCCTCCTGGCTGCTCAGATTCAAATCTCTAAGGAATGATGCCCAGGAGAGGCTGAGATGCAGCCAAACCCCAGAGGCAAGTGATGGAAATGCCTTTGCAGGTCCAATTTCCTGAAGATGAGGAACTCAGCCCTGATGATCCAGAGATATTGGCGTGGACATAACTGCAGGAAGAACTATGGTGCTGTAAGTACAGGGGTGCTCCCTCACGCCTCTGCCTTCCTATTTCTTTCTGGGACATACTGAAGAGTTTCTGGGCTCAAAATGCCCCACTGAGCTGGGTTGGCTTTTGTCAGTTGGAGGGATGAATGGAGGTTTGCTCTTGCTGCTTTACCTGAAGAGGCACTTGACTACCTTCTAGCTGTCCTTTTACCTGAGTTAGATGTGCATTGCACCAAATGGTCACTTGGGGTTTTAAAAGTCTTTCCCTAGTTTCCAGATGACTGAAAACTCAAGTTCAGCTTCCTCTGAAACCATACTCCATCTCCAGCGATATCTTGGTTTCTTACCAACCCCATCCATAGACCTCTTCTATCCCTGTCCCAGCTGTCTATGACCCAAAAGCAGGTCATTTGGGAAGTGTTTTGAGGTCTAAAGTGTCTCAATATCATCCTACAAGCCTGCAAACTAATTGGGATAGCCACTTCCAGGCTGGTCAGGATGCTGCCTCCTGGTATGAAATAGCACCTTGGCTTTCAGGCAGGAGGTCTGCCGATGCTGTACCTCTATGGGAGTAACCCTTATGGGTTGCAACTACCTTAAGATAACCAACCAGCCCTCCTGAGGCCTCTCGAGGGCAGGTACTCTGTAGGACTCAATGGGGAAGGAAAAGTCTTTGTCCTGCCTGGATTTTGAATCAGTGCAGCAGTAAGACGGCTTCATTGAATTAGTGCAGCAGCTGGAAGGCTGCATGGAAACCTCATAGCAGCCTGCCAGTATCTGAAGGGGGCCTATAGGGATGCTGCGGAGGGACCCTTCATTAGAGACTGTAGTGATAGGACAAGGGTGATGGGTTCAAACTGAAACAGGGGAAGTTTAGATTGGATATAAGGAAGAAGTTCTTTACTGTAAGGGTAGTGAGGCACTGGAATGGGTTGCCCAGGGAGGTGGTGAATGCTCCATCCCTGGCAGTGTTCAAGGCCAGGTTGGACAGAGCCTTGGGTACCATGATTTAGTGTGAGGTGTCCCTGCCCATGGCAAGGGGGTTGGAACTGGATGATCTGAAGGTCTTTTCCAACCCAAACCATTCTATGACTCTATGATTTCTTCACCCTCTTGGAGTATCTCCCTCCCAAAGGCTTGTCCTAGAGGGGGCTGATGTAGTAGCTCATACAGCAGTGCAAGGAGAATAGCAATGCAAATCTCCTTATGGTGAGCAAGCCTGTGCATGATGGGGTCGCTTCATCCCGTTCCCCCTTGCAGATGCGGATTGGCTTCCTGAGGCTGCAGGCGCTCTACCGATCCCGCAAGCTCCACAAGCAGTACCACATGGCTCGCCGGAGGATCATCGAGTTCCAGGCACGCTGCCGGGGCTACCTGGTCCGTAGGGCTTTCCGCCACCGCCTCTGGGCTGTCCTCACCATCCAGGCGTATGCCCGGGGCATGATTGCCCGAAGGCTGTATAAGCGCCTCCGAGGGGAAGTAAGTACCAGGGTCAGAGTGGGGAATGGAGGTGGGGAGAGGGGGAATAACACGCTTCTGCATCATGTGTGCGTGGGATTGGTTTTGGATGGGGTTTGGAGCAACCTGGTCTAGTGGAAGGTGTCCTTCCACTCATCCAGGATGGAACTGGTCTCAACTGGTCCCCAGTAATGGAACTGGTCCCAAACCATTCCATGATTCTATGGAAAACCAATAATCCACTCATCCAATGGAAAACCAATAATCCACTCATCCAATAATCCACTCATCCAGGATGGAACTGGTCCCAACTGGTCCCCAGTGATGGAACTGGTCCCAAACCATTCCATGATTCTATGGAAAACCAATAAAGAGATGCCTATTCAGAAGGGCTCTTATGTTTATTCCCAAGTATCGTCGACGCCTGGAAGCAGAGAAGCTTCGCCTGGCAGAAGAGGAACGACTCCGAAAGGAGATGAGTGCCAAGAAAGCCAAAGAGGAAGCAGAAAAGAAGCACCAAGTACGTGGGGACCGAGCTCTTTCTGGGGTCCTGTCTCTGTGTTCCAGGCACTTGTTTTGCTCCTTTGAGGGGAAATGCCAAAAATATCTAAGGGATTTCTGCCCTGCTTGAGCAGTTTGTGTTCAATTCTCTGGCATGCTCTGTGCTCTATTTGAATCTGCTCCAGAATTTCTGATCTGCTGCAAGGAATGCCAGAGATTACAGCGACTATTCACTTGCTTTCACAGTATCACAGTATCACAGTATGTTAGAGATTGGAAGGGACCTCAAAAGCTCATCTAGTCCAATCCCCCTGCCAGAGCAGGAACACCTAGATAAGGTTACACAGGAACGTGTCCAGGCGGGTTTTGAATGTCTCCAGAGAAGGAGACTCCACAACCTCCCTGGGCAGCCTGTTCCAGTGTTCCGTCACCCTCACTGAGAAGTTTCTTCTCAGGTTTAAGTGGAACCTCTTGTGTTCCAATTTGTACCCATTGCCCCTTGTCCTGTCATTGTTTGCCACTGAGAAGAGCCTGGCTCCATCCTCGTGACACTCCCCCTTTATATATTTATATACACTAATAAGGTCACCCCTCAGTCTCCTCTTCTGCTTTTGCTGTTGCATAAAGGGTGAAGGGGGAGCTCAGGGCACCCTGGGTGTATGCAGATATATTTTTGTTGTATAAAAGAAATAAAAGAGCTTAATGAGTGGCTTTTTGCATGGATAAAACCCTCTAAAAAGGCACTAAGGAAGGAGAAAATCATATTGATTTGTCCTTCTGCGGTTAGGAAACTGAGGCATGGATATGAAACTGATTTGCTTCAAGTCATGATGCTGATATAGTGCCCAAGCACTGGGTAGTCTTCTAAAGCCATCATTTAGTGCCAGCTCTTAGGAGGAAGCAGTTCAATCACTGTATTTGTCCTCTTGCAGGTACGCCTGGCCCAGCTGGCGCGGGAAGATGCAGAGAGGGAAGTGAAGGAGAAGGAGGAAGCACGTCGGAAGAAGGAGCTCTTGGAAAAGATGGAGAAAGCTCGCAACGAGCCAGTGAATGACTCGGAAATGGTGGATAAAATGTTTGGATTCCTGGGGACCACCTCCTCTCTGCCTGGCCAGGAAGGGCAGGCACCCAATGGCTTCGAGGTACTGGAGGCACACATGAACCTGGCTAGCACATGAAAAGCTTTAGCAACACGTTACTGAATCAGGAAAGAGTATGGCAGCACAGAAATGGTCTCTGAAGGCTTCCTTCAAGACTAGTCTCTTGTATATGGCCCAAGAGGGTTACTGAGCTATGGCAAGGGACAAGCAGGCAGTCTGAAGCTTTTCTCTGGGGCTCCCAAGTGGAGAGCAGTATCACTATGAGATCAGTGGGGACCTGTGGCCTTTGGGATGTTTTTTCTCATGGTTCCTCATGGCATTTAGCTCTTGGATGTGCCTTCCCTATGCTAGGAGTGAGGCCACGTTTGTTGCTTCTCCTACTGCTCTCCAGGACGTTCCTGGGCACAGGCATGTCCTTCAGGACTTGTGCTTTGCATGGGCTCCAGCGTTCTGTTTCATGTGCTTTCCTCCATCTGGCTTTTCCTTTTGGAATGGAAATCAGACAAACAGAAACACCAGATCCCAAGGGAAAGGGTTATCCTAAGCCCTGCTGAGTGCCTGATCTGTCCTTCCCCACCAGGACCTTGAACGAGCCCAGAAGGAGCTGGAGGAAGAGGACCTGGATGCAGCATTGCCTCTCCCTGAGGAAGAGGAGGAAGATCTCTCCGAGTACAAGTTTGCCAAGTTTGCTGCCACCTATTTCCAGGGCACGACAACAAACACCTACATCCGCCGGCCGCTCAAGCAGCCCCTCTTGTACCATGAAGATGAAGGAGACCAGTTGGTGAGGCAGGGGTTGGAAAACCTCAAGCAGGGCTGAGTGGGTTGGGGAACCAAAGGGCACCTGCAGTTTTCCTTTGGGAAGCACTGCTGTGCTTGTGGTTCAGTGGAGAGCATAGCCCTGGTCTGCTGCACATGTAGATGCTGTCCCACCGGCATGCTTTGAGCAGTGACAAGACAATGAGCATTAGAGGGATGTATTGTTAGAGGGGTGAGTCCATCTCTATGCCTTGATACCTATGTTAAGACATTAATGAACTGGTCTTGGCTTAAAGCATGGACAAAGAAAGCAGTAGCAGCTGGAAAAGTTGTTTCTTAACCTGTTGTATGCACCACTGCAGAGCTAACAGAAAAGAAACGCTTGTCCAGTAGCCAACAGTACAAGACCAGAACGGTATTGAACCTCCATAGCTATAATGAACGTTAGATTGGCCATGAGCTTGCCTACACTAAGGTTGTCCTTCCCTTCTGCAGTGGGTTAGGAGCTGCCAGTCACTGTTCCTCTATAAGTTTGGCATCTCCTAGCAAAGAACCAAGCTCCTTGGTAGGGTGCACGAACACACTCATGTTGGCATGGATGCAGAGCCTGAGTCTGTGGTCCCAGCCATGAGCCTGCCCAGCTTGCTCAGATGGGATGTATGCTGCAGGCAAAACTGTTGTGTGGCATTGAAAACTGCTTTATGTACAGAGAAACCACAGTGGTGACCCTGATGGATTCAGGATGGCTTGACCACCTCCTGGTGTGAGCTAATGGAGCGTACCTTTCCTTTCAACAGGCAGCACTTGCTGTATGGATCACTATCCTCCGCTTCATGGGAGACCTCCCTGAGCCGAAATACCATACAGCCATGAGCGATGGTGGCGAGAAGATCCCAGTGATGACAAAGATCTATGAGACTCTTGGGAAGAAGACCTATAAGAAAGAGCTGCAGGCCCTGCAGGGAGAAGGAGAGGTAACTAGAGATGCTGTTAGTAGGTGTTGGGTAATGAAATGTGTTGGAAAGAAACAACTTTTGGGGTTCGATGTAGGCAACTGGTTGTCAACTTTATTTGCAATTATGCCATGAAGGAAGAATTGCCCATTGTCAAGTTATGATCTTGTCCTGTCTTCTTCATAGGGGTAACTGAATATCCCCCAGCAGTACAGTAAGTGAAGTGCCCTGATATCTGTACTGGGGCTTTGATTTCTCTGCTCCACCCCACAGGGCAGAAATACATGGGGGGAGTGTAACATCCTGTGTCATCGGTCTCTCATTTGGGGACTGCTTTTTGATCTGCCCTGGATCAGAAGAGACTAACCTAAAAGTGTGCCCTTAATCTTGGAGCAGGAAGGGAAGAGTTACCAGGAGGTTAAGCTGTGGAAATCCCTATTGCATCCTCAGTGCGTTCTGGGATGTGACTGGAGGACTTCATCTTAGGACCATTCCCAGATAAGACATTGCTCTGGATAAATTGCTGTCTGTAACGCTGATATGCTTTAATCTTTGGCAATTGCTTTATTCAGTAGAACAAGATATTATCTGGTATTGGTATCTGGGCAAGCTCCTGGGCAGCATTTGCTGATGAAGGAGAACAAATCTCCTAAGTCTTAGAGATGGTTGATATCATTCAGCGCTTCAGTGAATTACCTGAGAAGGAGAGTGGCTTCATCTGGATTATAATCCATAAAAATACACAGCAAGAATCACCTTTCATTCCTTCTACCCATCATTTCTTGCTTGTTTATCACAAAAATGGTCTTTGAGCAAGCTGCTCTAGTGGAAGGTGTCCCTGCCCATGGCAGGGGTTGGAACTGGATGAGCTTTAAGGTCCCTTCCAACCCCAACCATTCTGTGATTTTATGAAGAAAGGTATATTTTGGCCAATTGAGACATCAAGTAGCACAGAAGAGAAGGAGATTTTAAGTTGTCACTTGTTTCTGTGGTTACACTGGCTCTGCAGTGTGCACAACAGTGCAGAGAGATGTAGGAGCTGACCCTGACCACGATGATATGGCAATTCAGGTATATAGTACCATCTTGGCTTTATAATGGATATAAACCATCGCAGCTGCAAGACTCAAAGTGTTGATCTGGTACAAAATCACGGTCTTTCAAAGTTATTTAAATGGGGAGAGTTTAACTGGGTCAAAAAGTGAATCCATGTCATTTTAACCCCACAGCTGACATAGACTTGGTATAAAAGTAGAAAGACAACAGTTGATGATGTGTATTCAGTGTGTGGGGCTGTCCATACCAAATTTATTCTCCTGGGAAAGCTGATGCGACACAGACGTGGTTAATGGTGAGGAAACCACGATGGGTAATTACCTGTCCATGGATCTCTGTCTAAATGACTTCCAGCTCACAAACCTGCCATGCAAATGGCTCATCTCAGAGAATGGTCTTGCTCATGCCATTTGTGATATAGGAACAAGCCTGAATGGCGTACAGCAGAACTTGGTGGACCTAGGTGGACCAGAATTCAGTTGTGTATTCAATGTAATTGTCTCCAGACATCTCTAATATGTAATTTGGGTCTGAGGGATAGTCATTGGTTAGAGAGTATCTACAAATTTCAGAGCCAGACTTGATCTATTGTGGGGAACAGGAATATGGGTCCATACTGTAGGTTCCCACCAAACTCTGAAATACCTCCATCTCTGCCTAGCATTAATGGTCTTCTATAGGAGCCCAGGGAAGGCAGGGAGAGCACCTACTCATCAGGGCTCTGTGTTTCTACACATTACATCCATGCCTCTTGCTTTGCAGAGTACTCACATTGACGGGCACAAGAACAGTGTATTCATTGCCTCCATGCCTCTTGCTTTGCAGAGTACTCACATTGACGGGCACAAGAACAGTGTATTCATTACCCCCATGCCTCTTGCTTTGCAGAGTACTCACACTGACGGGCACAAGAACAGTGTATTCATTACCTCCATGCCTCTCACTTTGCAGAGTACTCACATTGACGGGCACAAGAACAGTGTATTCATTACCCCCATGCCTCTTGCTTTGCAGAGTACTCACACTGACGGGCACAAGAACAGTGTATTCATTACCCCCATGCCTCTTGCTTTGCAGAGTACTCACATTGACGGGCACAAGAAGAACAGTGTGCGGCACAAACTGGTCTCCTTAACGCTCAAGAAGAAATCCAAACTGACGGAGGAGGTGAGAGGAGACGCTGGGCCGCCTGGCAGCACAAGTGCCGTTGGATTGTCTGCAGCCCTCTCTGACTCTCTTCTGCTTTTCCCTAGACAACATAGAACCAGCCCTCCTCTGGGTTTGGCGCTACCTGTCTCTCTGCCTGAAAGATTTAAGGAGTGTTTAAGGGGAAAGGTTGGCTTCCCGTGTCTCCTTGAGTCATTCTGCACCTCGCGCCGGCCTCCCCTCGGCTCCCGTTCTCCATCCATCCAGCACCTTCCCTCCCCTCTTTCACAGCCCTCCATCCAGCTGCCGATACCTCTCACCACTCTGTGATGGTCTGAATGTTACCCCTGCTTTTAGCTTCCTGCCCTCTGCCATGGCATAGGTAGCAGTAGTTGGAGCTCCAAAGGCACTCGCCCATCCTCTGGGTAAAATTCCCCATGGGAACAGTTAGCCCAAGCTGAGAGCTTTTGAAAATCCCATCTCAAAAGAGTGAGGAGCAATACATCTTTGAGTGGGATGGGAATGAAAGCAATGCAAAGACATGGATTCAGTCTTCTTTTACACACTGCCATGTCCACTTCCAGAGCAGGCACCATCTCACCTGGCTATAGCTGCTTGCGAGCATGAAGAGGGTCTCTGAGATAGTCCCATTAGTGTCACTTGGGTGACCCAATCCAGCTTACCCTAATATAGCTCTGAGCACTCTCTAGAAATGGCCATCTTTCTCCATTGGCTCTAAATGAAGACTGGGTTGGCTAGCTGGGACAGACAGCTGGTAGGTGGAAGGATGCCATCCCTGTTTCCACAATCAGCACCACACTGATGCACTTTTGGTTGCACCATTAGCATGGGGAGTGGGCCCATTTTGTCAGTGTTTTAATGACTTTTTAATGACTAATTAGAGCTGGGATGTAAGGATGCCATTGTTGAAACCCCAGGCAAAGAGCAAGCAGGTGGAAGTGTGACTAGACAGGACCATTTTCAGCTTCACCCATATGTGATTAAAGCCAACAAAGTCAAACCCTTCCATTGCTGTGAAAGTGCCAGATTGAACTTCTGAGCCCCCTCCTGGATGGTGGAGGGAGCACCACACATTTGGGATTGGGGGGTGGGGGGGGGGGTCATATTAGCCTGCTGTACTGAAAGAAAGCAATGTGTCTGGTTGGCAGGTGACAAAGAGACTTCATGATGGTGAGTCTACGCTGCAGGGTAATAGCATGCTTGAAGACCGACCCACCTCCAACCTGGAGAAGCTCCATTTCATTATTGGTAATGGCATCCTCAGGCCAGCTTTAAGGTTAGAAATCAAGACAAAGGCATGAATTCTTTCCATTTCTTCCTCCTTGAGCTATACTTGAAGTATTCAAACCATTTTGCTACTGGGTGCAGCTTTATGAAACCTTCATTGTACCATCTTTGTGTTGTATAATATGGTCTGGGGTGGATCATATTCCTTACTGTCCATATCAGGCCTGATGGAAAGAGCATGCAGAAGGATTCAGATGTTTCTGAAAGTGCCAGTGGCTACTGGGTTGTTTTGCTAACACTCACTTTTGCTATTCACTACCCTTTGTTTTCTGTGTTTGTGTGAATATTTTTAATGGTGTAGTAATGGAAAAACTCAAGCTGCTAAATCAAGCATTCATAACTGGAAAGTACCCAGTTAAGGTGAACTTCACATCTTTGGTTCACCCCATTTATGTGTGTGTGTTATAAAGCAGTCCTTGTTCTCACAGTTTCATACTCTTTCCGCTCACACTCACCTGCTCGTTCCAGGAACAAGGTGAGCATCCTCATCTGATCACCAGCTTCTCTCATTTTCATTTTATCCTCCCAGTTCACCATTAAGTCCTTATCATTACTTTTGTGCACAAAGTCTGCTCTGAAGGCAGACCTGGTAGTGTCCCATGGGCTTTTCCATGGAGTTTCTCAGTGTAAAAGTAGGCTAACACTTTTGTTGCCTCCCATGTAGATGAGAAATATTATTATCCCTTACTTCATATGTAGAAAACTAAGGTTAAAGTCAAAAGTGGACATTAGATCCCAAATTGAGATACTTGTCAATGCACATGCCTGTTTGGACATCAGACCTTGACTTACGTCCAAGAGCTGGTAGTTCCCAACACTTCCACAAAGCAAATTCAGGTGTCTCAAGAGGAACAACCAGTAAATGGAGACTCTCAGCTGAAGGCCCTCTACAAGAGTCAGTTTAGGTGATTCTGTTGATATGACTGGGAAATCTTTGTAAGAAGCCAAAGCAGACTCAGTCATCCAGACACATGCAGGCAGACCCTGTGTCTTTCTGTTCCTGTTGAAGACCACCACCTCATGAACTCAAATGCTCTTTTCATTCCTATTGCAGGGATGAAATCTATTGTCAAATCTGCAAGCAGCTGACCCAGAACCCATCCAAAAGCAGCCATGCCAGGGGTTGGATCCTCATGTCCCTCTGCGTGGGATGTTTTGCTCCTTCTGAGAAGTTTGTGAAGGTAAATTGTAGATGGTATTTGTCTCATTATTAATTATCTGCCAACACATTTTCTTTTCCATCCATGGGACCAGTTTTTCTCCCAGGTTTCACAGTAGATGGAATCCTGGTCTTTGTCTTTGCTGGGAATGGAAATTATATGAAGTTCTTAAGAAAAGTGTGCATGATCCCAGGTTCAATGCCTGAAGTGGATCAGATCAGTCCCTACTGAGAATTTGCTCTCTCTTTCTTGTGACTCTAAAGGAAATGCAGACAACCAGTTCAGATGATGACTCCGGCACTGTAGATGTGTTAAACTGGGATTAGGTGACTTCTGGCAGGGAAGCTGATTGTAAGAGGCTTCAAGTGGAAACTGCACACCCAGAATAGCCCACATTTCTCCCATTTCTCACATTCAAAAGTCTATGCATTCAATCATCTACTGGCTTTGAGCTTTGACAGTACGACCTCAGACATATACTTTAACAAAACTGGCAAGGAATAAGACTAGATAGCTCATTATAAATATAGCTTAGTATCAGAAATGCACATAGAAAAGGGTTTAATTTACCTGGTACTACGTTTGCATAGTTGCTGTCTGCGTATGCAATTTGCCCCTCCACGTGCCACACTGAAAACATCCAACTCTCAACAGATTTGAACACTGTCTTCCAACTGAGTTACACACCCAGAGCCTGATTAACACCCACTGGACTACTAAAGTCAATCCCATTCCTAAGAGTCTGGCTGGCTCAAGGCAAAGGGCTCAGCACTGTGTCTTTGCTTTTCCATGGTATAAGAAGTCCTTTGTCCCTCTCAGATCTTTGGATATTGGAGCCTGGACCTGCTCCCAAGCCTGCTGGAGATAAAGATGTTCCATTAATTCCCATAAATATCAGATCAGGTACTGGGTCCTCAGCACTGAAAGAGCTGAAGCCAAGAATAGAAATCTCTCCTTCATCCTTGCCAGTATGAAATCTAATAAAGGAGATGAATCACTGGCAAAGTGGCAGCAAATGGAATTAAGTCTGGAAATGAGATCTAAGGAAGGTTGTGTGGGTTTAAATCTTTAATAGTGGAAGATTATTTGAGGCAAGTTTAGCACTTCTCAGAAATCATTTATGGGCAGCTATGGAGACTTGCACATAGAGTTGCAGAATCATGAAAAGCTTTAAGTTTAAAGGGACCTGTAAAGCTCACCTAGTCCAAACGCTCCTTCAATAAGCAGGGACCTCTTCAGCTAGATCACATTGCTCACAGCCCCATCCAACCTGACCTTGAATATCTCCAGGGATGGGGCATCTGCCACCTCTCTGGGCAATCTGTGCCAGTGTTCTTCTGTCCAAACTTATGGTCCATACTGAAATACGTGGCAATATTCCCAACAGCTTTGGAAAGTGTTTATACTAATTCTGAGCTTATTCATCAGCCTTTTGCACCTTGGGCTGTTTAAGGTGATGGGCAGCCTGTACTGACTGAAGCTCCTTGAGTACGAGGGCAAACAACACTCGCAATAGCCAACACTGTGGTTACCTTTCAAGGCTCCAGTCCTCCAAACAGTAGCACACAGGCAGTGACTTGAGCAATGTCTTAGAGCTCCTTTGAAGCCATTGTGGTTATCCATGGGGACATCATCGACACTTTCCAGCTTAAAATGTTGTGTTGCACAGGGCTTGGAGCAAGCTGCTCTAGTGGAAGGTGTCCCTGCCTGTGGCAGGGTATGGGAACTGGATGAGCTTTAAGGTCTCTTTCAAACCATTCTATGATTCCAAAGTGTCAATGAGAACTGAACATTTTGGGGGGGATTAAGCTGAAGATGAAGCAGTCTTTGATATCTTCTCCTGCTCCCAAAAATGAAAGTCACTCTTTGTATCCCATTAGATACCTTTGTCACACCATATGCAAAGCGTGGGTGTCCTGGGTTCAGGACAATGGGTCAGGACACATTAGCACTCCTGTTCTTTGTACCTTCCTTTCAAATAATACAGACTTTGTTGGGAAGGTTCAGTCACAAGGAAGGAGAAATACAGAAAACCTGTAATTACATAGTTCATTATTAACAGCATAATCGAAACTGCTTTTACAGAGCATCACCTGCTTGCAATCATTTACAACAGCTCCCATCCATATAACGTGACTGTATTATCTCGTTATTCCAGAGTATTATAAAAGTTAGGATTAACAGAGATATCTGTCTCTCTACCCATGTTATTTATGGACTGGCAGTGTGATAGAGCAGTCTGTGTTACCAAAGGACTGGGTATGTCTTATCATGCAGAGAGCTCTCTATCTTTCTATGAAGTCTCTCTGAAAGACATGATTTAGGGAACTTTTAGCTACCTTATGGCCAAGATACCTATTAAGTGTGTTAAGTCTTTCATATTTCAGAAGTCACAGGATTTAATTTTCTCTACAATAATGTGGTTGTATTTTTAACATATAGTGAAGTGTTTCAAACTCTGGCTTAATATCTTTTAAAATGACTAAAAAAGCATCTCTTTAATGTCATTGTGAGATATCTTTTGTACTGGCAGCTAAGAGTTCCAAGTGGCATTTGCTTGCAATTCCCTGGATCGTTCCCATTCCCCTGGATCATTATCATTATATGTCATTTTCATACACTCTCATCTTTGGCCAACACTCAATAATGTTTTATAATACATCCTTAAAAGACAGAGGTAGGAATCAGTGGCAGCAATAGCAGGAACAGAAAACTACTGTAGTGGCTTCAATCAAAGGTCTGTGTAGGCTGGTATCTTATCTCTACAAGGCCAGAAATGCACAGTACCAGAACAAGGCGAGAGTGCAGAATGCCCTACATGCTCCCAGCTTCCAGCAATGCGATGTAGGAGCATCCTGAGCCCGAGTGGTGTCACTGACATTAGTCACAGAGGGCTTCTCTCCAATAAAAATGTTGCTTTTTAACCTTTGCAAGTGCTTGGCCTCTAGAGCCAATGTTCTAACCAACGTGTTCCTTGCCACCAACAGTATTTAAGGAACTTCATCAATGGAGGCCCCCCAGGTTATGCTCCCTATTGCGAAGAGAGGCTGAGAAGGACATTTGCCAATGGGACAAGGACACAGCCACCCAGCTGGCTGGAGCTGCAGGTATGATCCCCTTCATCCCCTCCCCAGGCAGCTGGGACTCAGGGTTTAAGCCTTTCACTATCAGAGGAGCCACATTTCAAGCAGGACAGAAAGTAGGGCAACAAAATGCCTATTTCTCCCAAGAATATTCAAGCATTTCCAAGGTACTGCAATCCCCATGCATCCTGGCTTTGCTTCAGAGTGTGTTTTAGATCAATCCCTTTGGCTACATCAATACTTGTAAATGAAATGTGCTCGAGAGTGCTCTCAGGCATTGAGGCCAGCTGGCACAGAGCAAGCCCTTGTGTGTGCTAGGAAAGCAGCCCTGCAGATGGAAGTGGCTGCTGGCAAACAAACTGCCTACTGAGAATGGTCCCTGGGACTTGTCTGGGGATAGCTGTAGCTGGAACAGGCAGTTTGTGCATTAATTGCTTATTTGCTATGCTGGTTTACCAGCATAGGCAGCTGTGCTCCAGTGCCCAGGAGCATTCCCAGGCATGCAAGGGCTTACTGGATTAGGCACTTTGATGATTGAATGTCTTATATTAGAAAACTATGATTTCCAAGTGCTTTCACCACCTGACTGTACAATATCATAGAGTCATAGAATGGTTTGGGTTGGAAACTACCTTAAGATCATCCAGTTCCAAACCCCTACTACAGGCAGGGACACCTTCCACTAGAGCAGCTTGCTCCAAGCCCCTGTGTCCAACCTGGCCTTGAACACTGCCAGGGATGGGGCAGTCACAGCTTCTCTGGGTATCCTGTGCCAGCACCTCAGCACCCTCACGGAGAAGAGCTTCTGCCTTATCTCCAACCTGAACTTCCCCTGTTTCAGTTTGAACCCATCACCCCTTGTCCTGTCACTACAGTCCTTAATGAAGAGTCCCTCTCCAGCATCCTTGTAGCCCCCTTCAGACACTGGAAGCTGCTCTGAGATCTCCTTGCAGCTTCTATTCTCCAGGCTGAACAGCCCCAGTGTTCTCATGTTCTCAGCCTGGCTCCATACAGGAGGTGCTCCAGCCCCTGATGATCCTCGTGGCCTTCTCTGGGCTTGCTCCAACAGCTCCATGTCCATCTGATGTTGAGGACACCAGAACTGCACAGAGTTCTGCAAGGGGGGTCTCATAAGAGCAGAGCAGAAGGGCAGGATCACCTCCTTCGACCTGCTTAAAAGAATGTGCTGGTAGTATTGCAAAGGAGCCAGTCAGTGGGAATTAGCATCAGGAATTAGAAGATTGTTACCACAGTTGGGTGGAAGAGTACATAAGAAACTGTCAATGGAATTGAAATGCACATGCCTTCATAAAGTCTGACTTTAATCCATTAGGCAACCAAGTCCAAGAAGCCGATCATGCTGCCTGTCACATTTATGGATGGGACAACAAAAACGCTGCTGACCGACTCTGCAACCACTGCTAAAGAGCTCTGTAATTCCTTGGCCGACAAAATCAGCCTGAAGGACCGGTTCGGCTTTTCACTTTACATTGCACTTTTTGACAAGGTATGTCTTACCTTCATGATTAGCTCTATAAAAGAAGAGGGAGGTTCTTGCCATCACAGATCTTCCAGAGGGCAGAAGGCGTATTTCTAGTGCAAGTTCAAGCATGATTTCGCAATACGAGTAGTCAGATGCTGGAGCTAGGGCTGTAGACGCTACGTAGAGACTCCTTTCTTGGAGATACTCATAGTCAGGGGAGGGTACTGAGCAGCCTGACCAAAGACAGATCTGTTCTGACCACTGGGCTGGACCAGAAACCTCCAGAAATGCCTTTCAACCTGTGTTATTCTATGGTGCGCTGATCTTACTCTCATTGAAGCTACTTTGAGGTGAATTTCCAGTCAAATAGCCAGGTTTTGTATGGAAAGGAGCAACTACATTTGACTGGAAACCTCTTGGTTGAAATTAAGCTTCCAAAATGAGCTAAATTCCAAACTTCCGTGCCTGCATTGGCATTTAAACAGGATTATTTAGCATAAAAGCTTACCTTTTAAAGAAATTCCATAAAAATAAAGGTGAGCATAAATGAGAAGGGAAAACAAAGCTATGGTAAAACTCCATCAGGTTTAACAGCAACCCAATGAAGCAGAATTACTCCTGAGAGATTTAAGCGTGTTCTCACCTACAGATGTGGCCACTTCTGCCTGTGAGTGGAGAATAAAATGGTTTCTAGTCCATTTTCTTGATCTTTTTTGAGGGGAGATTCATCCAGGGATGTTCACTCTGAGGATATATAGTGCATTAGGGCTTCATGCCAGACCATAGTATGAAGACAGAAGGGATGAATCTTCTGTAACAGGACAGCCTTTTTATTCTGTGTTTGTTTAGCATAGTTGGATCCAAGTCCATGACTTTGATAAAGGGACTTTCAACACACAGTATGAATAAACAATGCTTTATATTGTGATTGTTTGCCTTGCTAACTCATGTTGATGCTCCCCTTTAATTCTGGATGGGAAATGGGCTGAAAACAAAGCGGCTTGTCCAGCTACACTGCAGACCCACTTAATCTTGGCTGGTTAATGGAGATAGATACTTTGATTTATTTTGATTATAGAGGAAGTCTGAATGAATTACCCAAAGATCGATATCTCTACCTAGAAAGGTCAGAACTGAGGCGAATCATAGAATCAGATTGGTTTGTATTGGAAAGGACCTTAAAGCTCATTCAGTCCCAACCCCTGCCACAGGCAGGGACCCCTTCCACTAGAGCAGCTTGCTCCAAGCCCCTGTGTCCAACCTGGCCTTGAACCCTTCCAGGGAATGCCAGTTTCCCTGTGCCCTGTCTAGGTGTCCTCGCTGGGGAGCGGCAATGACCATGTGATGGATGCGGTGTCTCAGTGCGAGCAGTACGCCAAAGAGCAGGGAGCGCAGGAGCGCAACGCGCCGTGGAGGCTCTTCTTCAGGAAGGAGATCTTCACCCCTTGGCACAACCCCAGTGAGGACAATGTGGCCACCAATCTCATCTACCAGCAGATAGTGCGAGGGGTCAAGTTTGGGGAGTACCGGTGCGACAAGGTATGTGGCCTCAGCTATCGGTCTGGTCCTACCTGCATCCTCAATATGGCAGAGTAGGTGTCACCAAAGAGAATGAGAAATCTTCCTCTGTGAACACCTACTAGGATGGGGATTATGGTGTTCACTTGGGAAACCATAGCCAGAGTTATGAGATCCTCTTGGTCTGGGACAGACTGGATGCTAACATGTACTGCATGAGCACTCTTTGCTGGTTAATTTTGGATGGGAGACTGAATGGCTAATGCATCCATCCATCTCAGCTTGGAGGGCCATGGGTAGTCTGTAAGAGGATCACCAGCTCAGGAGTACACAGCAGGATCCTCTTTGGTGAATCCTGCGAAGCCTTAGACATGAGAGATGCTTTTCAGGATACCCAGACCTTTGCCATGCAATACAAAACCAGTAACGCCGAGGGGAAAAGGCAGCAGAAACGTGTGCTTGTAGAGCCTCTGGGAGCTTACAGAATTGTTCCAGTGTCACTGAAATGAGTGGCATTATGTTTGAAATCCTCCAGGTGTCAAATTGAAGATCCTGTGGTCCAGCAGAGTCCTGTCCCCTTGGGAACTAAATCATCTTTCCCCATTTATATTGCATTGACTGCAGCTCTTATCCTACCAGAAGTCCTGCTCTTTCTTCCTTGTTTTCTCTTGCTGCTGGTCTCCTTGTGCTATTATCATAGAATCATTGAATCTTAGAACAGTTAGGGTTGGAAAGGAGCTTAAGATCATCCAGTTCCAACCCCCCTGCCATGGGCAGGGACACCTCACACTAAACCATGGCACCCAAGACTCCATCCAACCTGGCCTTATCATCTCAGTAATTCTATTATTTCACCCCAAAAGTACTTGGAATGTAGCTACACCGAAGGATGTTTTACAGTTCTGCATCATGCATGGGTGCTTCAGGTGCTGGGATTCTCAAGTATGAGGAATGATGGATACATGCAGAGTTTCAACCATCAAACTCTGTCTACCATAGCAAAATCACCCATTGCTGACTGCAGGCATTGGAAATAGACTGAACTTGAAGGAAAGACTGCCACAAACATGTTCACACACTGTACAGGGTTGCGTGGTGCTGGTCAGTGAACATGTTATGGCTTAATCACAGCTTTTAGTGGCCAATCTGAATTTTAGATGTGAAAAAAGCACTGGTGAAGTTCTACTGAAGGAAGCATCCCCACACCATTCTGAAGGAGCAGTACATCCAGTCTCCACAAAGAGCTCTTTGAGTGCTAGAGGATGGATGTTGAAGTGATGTCCTGGTAATAGCATTAACCTGGCTTCTTTGGCTCCTACAGGAAGAAGATCTTGCAGAACTGGCTTCCCAGCAGTACTATGTGGACTATGGGTCAGAGATGGTACTGGAAAGGCTGCTAAATCTTATTCCATCCTACATCCCGGACAGAGAGATCACAGCTTCAAAAACAGTGGAAAAATGGGCTCAGTTCATTATAGCTGCACATAAAAAGGTGGGTAAAGTAGGTCAGCTATTGGCAAGGACCAAGGCATGCTTCAGTAGCTTTGTCAGGCATTATAGCTCAGCTCTTAGCTTAGCCTGAAGATAAATCAAAGAGAAAAGGCAGGTTTTGTACGAGGTGTATTCAGTTCTACCATTGGTTTTGAGGCAAGATCTGACAGAAGAAGACAATCTGCACAGATTCGGTGTGAGAATCAAATGCAGTCTGTAGGGTTTTGTACCTGTTACACAGGATTGTGGTGTTACTGGTTGCAATACAGTGGAGGTCCATGTCACCAGGCAATGACAGGACCTTGTGCTAGGCATTCTCTAAACCCCCCTGACTTCCCTTAGAACACTTCTGACACCTTCCATAACTCATTACCCATAACTCATGACCAGCCACGAGGGTTACATCCAGGCATGTGACTTGGCTTTATTCAACAGCAGGAACCAGCTTCAGATTAAGACCCCTAAAATGTAAGCATCTCCATGTGTGTTAGGAGTTTCACCTCCCATTGCTGTTAGTGGAGACCTAGAGATGCAATTCAGTTGGGTCTTGCTGGTCCTTCCCCAGCCTGTCAGCTACATGCTGAAGTGTCGGGTATCTGAGGATGTCCTAAATAAAACTAGATGTCTTTCCTTAAGGGCTATTGAGTGTCTTTTTCCAGCTAAAGGACTGTCAAGCTGAAGGTAGACACCTACCTTGGGGAAACCCAAGGTGAGCTGACATGAATCCCACCCTGACTGATCACTCCAGATGCTTGCCCACCCTTCTGAAAGTCAAATTATTCCATGAAGTTGGAACCAAAAGCCAGCACTTTGTCCAAGCTGTCATTTGCTCCTGCAGGACTTTGATTGGCCCTTAGCCACATTGGGACCTCATCAATATTCATTCCAAGATCTTCTGGTGACATGAATTGGTTCAGTTTGCTCTCATCCTAGATATAACTGGATTTTTTGCTTCATGTTGGTTGTGGTTTGCTTTTTCTATAGGGAATTTATACTCAGAAGAGGACAGACCCCAAGAAAGTCAAGGAAGAGGTGGTGGATTTTGCACGTTTCAAGTGGCCTTTGCTGTTTTCTCGGTTCTATGAAGCCTTCAAATTCTCAGGTGAGGCAGTAGAGCACATCCACGGAGCACAGGATGCTCCATAGAGAAAGGAAGGAGAGATAGGGACACCACAGACAAGAAGACTTAAAGGTCTTTTTTGCATCCTGATTAGCAATGGCTCCAGCTATGAGTCTGTTTCTCTTACAGAAATAACAGAGTTTTCTGATGATTCCATCCTCCTTTGAAATGCACAGATTTGCTATATCCTAAAACACTTCATGAACTGATTGCGTGTCTTGTCTCTAATCCAGGGCCAAGCCTACCTAAAAACGATGTGATTGTAGCTGTCAACTGGACAGGGGTCTACTTTGTGGATGAACAGGAGCAGGTTCTCTTGGAGCTCTCTTTCCCAGAGATCACAGCTGTGTCGAGCAGCAGGTAAGGAGGAATGGACTTAGCTGGGAATTTCCCCATAGACCAATCATATCCCAGGCTTTGCCTCTTGATGCTGTTGCTTTTTGGTTTCTTATGTCTCCTATAAAAACATATCCCAGAGGAGGAAAGCTGCAAGGGCAGAGTTTCACCTTGGCCACTATTAAAGGTGATGAATACACTTTCACCTCCAACAACTCCGAGGATATCCGGGACCTGGTGGTGACGTTCCTTGAAGGACTAAGGAAAAGATCCAAGTATGTGGTAACTCTCCAAGATAACCCAAACCCTGGTGAGTAAATGGCACAGTAGTAAAAATAAAGATAGATTAATTATTCCCAAGGGATTAGGGAAAATATAATCAAACTAATGGTTGGGTTTTCCCTTGCAGTGGGAGAAGAATCTGGCTTCCTCAGCTTCCTCAAAGGAGACCTCATAGTTCTGGACCAGGACACAGGGGAACAAGTGATGAACTCAGGGTGGGCCAATGGGTTCAATGAAAGGACCAAGCAGAGAGGAGATTTCCCAACTGATGCAGTCTACGTCTTGCCCACAGTCACCATGCCTCCACTGGAGATTGTGGTAAGCTGTCTTAGAATGGCACCACTTCATACAAAGCCCAAGGAAGTCAAAAGCTTACTGTAAAGCTTAGATCTGGCCAGAGTCCCACAGTGATAAGGTGGAAACCAAAGTAGCTGTGAGTGGAGACAAGGCATCCATGGCAGAAGCGATCTCAGCCTTTCCTCAGTTCTTGTCACTTTGAACACCACGAGCTTGTGACTTGGAATATCCATGCATCATGCTAGAACCCTCCTTCTGATTACTTGAAGTTGTATTTGGGATTGGAGAATCCTACATGAATGTAGGATCTAAAGCACATTATCTTCATTAGGAAATGATCCACACTATGGAAACTTCTGTTGTTCCTTGTATTAATAACTGAGAATGGCACAAAGAAATGACAATTGCACAGTTCTTGCTATTAATGGGTTCTTCTTATTCACTCTCTGTTCTTCTTTACATTCTGTACCTACTTCCTCTCTCTGAATACATCAGATATATCTTCCATCAAATATACTGGGTGACAGAGACCTTTTCATCCCACAGGCACTGGTGACGATGACCCCTGACCAACGCCAAGATGTTATCAGGACCTCTCAGCTGGCAATTTCAGACAGTGAAGAGCGAGTAAAGCCATACACCTTGGAGGAATTCTCCTATGATTATTTTAGGTGATTTTGTAATCCATCTCCCAAAATCATAGGACTAGGAACCCATCCCCACGTAGTTTGGGAATCAGGAAGTTTTTGGTTACTAGAAAGGAGTCTGAATATTCCCCCTATGTGACTTTGTACAACCGAAGCCTCCAGTTTAGGTCATGGCATTTGAGCTGTAGGTTTTCCACAGACAAAGTTTTAAGAAGGATTTCTTTAGATTGGCTTCACACATGTATAACAGAGTGAAATTTAATATGTGGGAAGCTGTGCTTAATGGTCTGCTATTCCTTTCCTATGATCCCATACGCAGCCTCAGACTATACAAGCAGCAGTTGAATTAAACGTGGGCATTTCCATCTCCGTTCCAAAGGTTTAAATGTGCACGACTGCTGAATGTGCCTGAGCAGGCTGATCCCAAAACTCCCCCTTCTGTTCAGATGGGCTGGCAGTCCAAACAGGCAGCCCAGATCCTCTGGGATGTCTTTGTTCTGGTAGGCTTGTTCTACTAGGCATGATTTTTCCAGTGTTACTGCCCTGAGCATCCATTGCCATCATCTTTCTTGTGGTGAGAAGCTTTTTGGGGTAGGGAAGGTTGTTTTGGTGTCAGTAGGTGGGTATGGTCCTTAAGGGACTTTTCGGAGCCCTAGTAAAGTACAAATAGCTCTCTTTGGGCAGAATGGAGCTGGATACTTGCTTAGCTGTGTCCCTCCAAAATGCATCTACTGAGGAAGGTTGTAGCCGTTATCAGTGTGGATGCAAACCTTGAAGTCCCATTAGGTGTAAGAGCTCATTAGAGTGTTGTAACCAACCTTCCCGGGTGAAACGTTGGCCACAGCTGTCCCTTTTATCCTTGTAACCTCTCCAATGTTCCTCTTGCTTTGCCTTTGCCACCAGGCCCCCTCCCAAGCACACCCTGAGCCGGGTGATGATCACCAAGAGCCGTGGGAAGGACAAGCTGTGGTGTTACACCCGTGAGCCCATCAAACAGCCACTGCTGAAGAAGATCCTGGGCAGTGAGGAGCTCTCCCAAGAAGCCTGCATGGCCTTCATTGATATCCTTCCACTGCCAGGGGAAGCCCTTGAGCATCAGGTTTGACAGGGAATGGGCTAAGCAGGCTCTTTAGGGCCCCGATCAGAGCCCATGGGAAGGCTTGTGGTCCCTCTTAAGGGCTTTGGGACCATGTCACAGGCTTGGAGATGGATTTGATCCTGAAATCTATACTTAAGCATCCTTGAGATCTGAGGGGTATCTTAATAAATGAGGGGCAGGGCACAAGTTACTGAGTCCTGCTGGTCCACACTCCATGGTTAACTCCCCAGCTCTGTTCTGGCTTGTTTCAGCTGTGTCTCTCCAAATGCATCTACTTTGGAAGGCTGTAGCCTAAACAGAGCGGATGCAAAGCGGTCCACATGGCCTCTGGGACAGGGTTTAATGCCTGAATATCCCTTACCAGGCAGAATTACACAGCATGGGAGAGATGAGCTGGGTGCAGACACAGACCCAATCTGTTGAAGTAACCTTTATGTTTTCGTGAGGCTTTGCTCTAGAAGCGGAACTTCATGGTTTGAATAGTTCTGTTGGTATAACCCTGTTATTATTATTACACTATTGCTGCTACTACTGGGTTCCTCTCACTAGCAAATAATAACAAAAGAAGGAATTAAAAGAACTGGCAAAAAATTAAGGGGACATCTGCAGTTTTATCCTTTTCTTCTTACTGTGTTGTATATCCTAATTCAGAAAACTTTGGCCTGTTCCTATGTGGAATAGTTGCAATATGGCATGATGGTGAAGGTCATCACCAAGGTTTGGTGGACTTGGCAGTCCTGGGGTAAAGGTTGGACTTGATGACCTTAAAGGTCTTTTCCAATCTATTTGATTCTGTGATTCTATCATTTGGCTTATGTTACTGCAGCTCCACTGCTGGCTGACTGGCTAAAATCTGGTTTTTCACAGTTATACCTGTGTGTGTGATTAGCTAGCCCATTATCACATGCAGCTTTATTAGGTCTACATATCCTGACCCCAGAACAATTCCTTCAGCCTGATATGTGATAAAGGGAAAGAGTCTGCTGCACATCTCCTAAAGCAATTTAGAGCCTTTACCCTCCATGAATTGGGGCCTATAGGGATGCTGGGGATGGACTCTTCATTAGGGACTGTAGTGATAGGACAAGGGGTAATGGGTTAAAATTGAAACAGGGGAAGTTCAGATTGGATATAAGGAGGAAATTATTTCCTGTTAGGGTGGTGAGGCACTGGAATGGGTTGTCCAGGGAGGTTGTGAATGCTCCTTCCCTGGCAGTGTTCAAGGCCAGGTTGGACGAGGCCTTGGGTAATATGGTTTAGAGCAAGGTGTCCCTGCCCATGGCAGGGGGTTTGGAACTGGATGATCTTAAGGTCCTTTCCAACCCAAACTGTTCTATGATTCTATGATTCTATGAAATTGCAGCCACTTCTGGAGTCATGTGTAGGGTCTCTTTATTACCACCATCAATAACAGGGCTTCCCCAACATCCCAGTTAGCTGATCCTTGACTCCTCCTACCAGTGCTGAAGTACATGGGTGACTACCCATCCAAAAGGACCCGCTCTGTTAATGAGCTGACAGACCAAATATTTGAAGGTGCCTTGAAAGCTGAGCCCCTGAAGGATGAAATCTACTGCCAGACCCTCAAGCAGCTGACGGACAACCACATCAAGTAAGAGCTGTTCATCCCCCTTGGCCCAGATACACTCCCATGTGTTGGGCAAAGCAGATCTCAACTTCTTTCCTCATGCAGGTACAGTGAAGAGAAAGGCTGGGAGCTGTTGTGGTTGTGTACAGGCCTTTTCCCTCCAAGTAACATCCTCCTGCCCCATGTCCAGAGGTTCCTGCAGTCCAGGAAACATCACCCCTTGGCAGCAGACTGCATCCAGAGACTGCAGAAAGCCCTCAGGTACGTCACCAAAAGACCTTCTAGCCATGATGATGCCACAGCATCCAAATATGTGTAAGAAAATGAAGTAGGAGATATGTTGGTGGCTGTGGGGACAATGAAAGCTCACAGCCTTTATGTTCAACCAAGAACAAAAGGAACATTGTACGGAGGATAACTGTGTGAGAGAAAACAGAATCATGGAATCACAGAATAGTTAGAGTTGGAAAGGACCTTAAGATCATTCAGTTATAACCCCCTACCATGGACAGGGACACCTCACACTAAGCCATGTCACCCAAGGCTCTATCCAACCTGGCCTTGAACACTGCCAGGGATGGAGCATTCACAACCTCCCTCGGCAACCCATTCCAGTGCCTCAGCACCCTCACAGTAAAGAATTTCTTCCTTATATCCAATCTAAACTGCCCCTGCTTCCGTTTGAACCTGTTACCCCTTGTCCTATCACTGCAGTCCCTAATGAAGAGTCCCTCCCCAGCATCCTTGTAGCCCCCTTCAGACACTGGAAGCTGCTCTGAGGTCTCCACGCAGCTTCTCTTCTCCAGGCTGAACAGCCCCAACTTTCTCAGCCTGGCTCCATACAGGAGCTGCTCCAGCCCCTGAGCATCCTCATGGCCTCCTCTGGACTTGTTCCAACAGCTCCATGTCCTTTTTATGTTGAGGACACCAGAACTGCACACAATGCTCCAGGTGGGGTCTCACGAGTGCAGAGCAGAGGGGCAGGATCACCTCCTTCGACCTGCTCGTCACGCTCCTTTTGATGCAGAACTTAAGATGACTTTGTCCAGATCCACTTCAGTCACCTACAACCAGCAAGTTCACATTCCCCATTAGTTTTTCTTTTTTCTTTTAGGAGAGAAAATAAACTACTAATAAGGAAGTAGCTGAAGTTGCTCAGAAAAAGACTATGCATTAAAATTGAAGGCTTAAACCAAAAGCTTCTTGTTCTGATGCTGTGGTACTCACCACCTCCTGTTTTGTAGGAATGGATCCAGGAAGTACCCACCCCACCTGGTAGAAGTGGAAGCCATTCAACACAAAACCACCCAAATCTTCCACAAGGTTTATTTCCCTGATGACACCGATGAGGTAAATGGGGGAGAAGGGAATTCTCGGTTTCTGACAGGATGGCTGCCAATTTTCTTAGTAAAATCTCAAAAGAGGTTAATATTGGTCCTGATTCAGAAAGATTCAACCCTTGCAGAAGACTCTGCATGGAGCAGTGTAAGGAAAACCCATCCTTATGTACGCCAACCAGCCCAGGGGGGTGATTTACTGTAATTCATGTGTTTCAAGACCTGGGTGCTGTGCTGGGGTTCACTTGAGGCTTTATAGTATGATCCCAGAAGGAAGGCAAGCGGGTGGTTCACAAACCTTGGGTATCAGTTATCGCAGCCTCGCACACAGATATTGTCCACCCAACTACATACCCAACAGAGTACAATGATGGGGCTCCCTGGGGACTGAGCAGACTATGGCAGCACTGGCAAGCAGGTGACTGCAATGATACCTTCTGACCTGAGATGACACAGAAATCATACCTGCACTCAGAAACCTCTCATTAAGCATCCTACATGCTAATAAGGCAGCTAGTTCTATTGATGCCATGGTATACATGCATGTCCTTGCAGATACTGCTGTTTCATGCTACTGATGTGGGGCTTGCATCTCCTTTTCCCCTCATGTCTTTGGGCACAACTGAATCCTTGTATTTCCAAGCTGGTTTCTTTATAAGGCAGTGCACACCTATGGAAGGAAAAGGATGATTCTTCTCCTTGGTTACCTGTAATGGAGAGTTAAACTGCTGAGATTTGAGTATTCTTTTTTAGCTGACCAACAGTAAACATGACACTGCGTTATAGACATGCATCTGTGTGAGAGCCAGTAGAAGGGGACTGCAGCACTTGGATGGGTTTGCTGTGATCCTTTTGGCCATGGCAGTCACCCAGGTGGACTATCAGAGTAGCATCATTCCAGCACAATATTTATCTGCACTAAGGAGCTGCTGAGCCCCAGCAGCACTGAGCTCCAAGCTGGTCTCTCATGGGGTATGGAACACAGGTCCTGTTGATTTGGTGCTTTAGGCTAACACAGTTGTGCATGGGGTGGTCAGAAGCTCAAACTCCTTAAACTGATGCAAACTGCATCTCTTTAAATGGGCAAAGCAAAACTGAGGTGATGTAAATGCTGAGCACAGCAATAAAGGCAAAACCAGGACTGGGACCTGCATGTAGGTGACCAGTCCTATAGGTATCCCATCCTCACATAAAGCAGGAGCCATCTCCTTCCCAGCCATCTAGAAGTGAGGCATTTGGTCTAAACTGGGCATCTGACTTCATTATCAGTGAAGAGACAACTGGGACAAATCAGCCTGGAAGTATCTTGGCCTGTTCCAAGGGTCTCTATCCCTCAAATAGCTCTGATAGCTCTGACACCCAACTGTTGGATCAGAATAATCTCTTACATTGCCTGGGGAGCCCTGAACAAGCAAGCACAGGGTATAGCTAGAGCATCGCAGAGCACAACAGTACAGCAATAGCATGGTTGAGCTTCTGCAAACAACCCTTCCCTTGTTCAGTCACAATCCTCAATGTCAGTGTTTTCATGGTGGTGGGTATCTAAATCCCTTTGTGCATCTGAGCCTGGGGTTCCTCAAAGACAGCATAAAGTAGAAATTAACCTGGAGGTGGCAGTGGTGAGGATCTTCCTTTCTTTGTAGGCATTTGAAGTAGAGTCCAGCACAAAAGCCAAGGACTTCTGCCAGAACATCTCCAATAGGCTGCTCCTGAAGTCCTCTGAAGGCTTCAGCCTCTTCGTCAAGATCTCTGACAAGGTGAGTGACCCACCTAAAGCACTCAGGGAGACCCGTGTGCTAGTGGGTAAGCAGGGGGGAATGGCTTGAACCTGCCCGAGGGGAGACTGAGCTGAGCTCTTAGGCAGAAGCTCTTCCCTGTGAGGGTGCTGAGGCGCTGGCACAGGGTGCCCAGAGAAGCTGTGGCTGCCCCATCCCTGGCAGTGCTCAAGGCCAGGTTGGACACAGGGGCTTGGAGCAAGCTGCTCCAGTGGAAGGGGTCCCTGCCCGTGGCAGGGGTTGGAGCTGGATGAGCTTTAAGGTCCCTTCCAACCCAAACCAGCCTGGGATTCTGTGATTTTGTGGTCCTATGAATCATAGAATCATAGAATAGTTTGGGTTGGAAAGGACCTTAAGATCATCAAGTTCCAACCCCCTGCCATGGGCAGGGACACCTCACACTAAACCATATCACCCAAGGCCTCGTCCAACCTGGCCTTGAACACTGCCTGGGGTGGAGCATTCACAACCTCCCTGGGCAACCCATTCCAGTGCCTCACCACCCTAACAGGAAAGAATTTCCTCCTTATATCCAATCTAAACTTCCCCTGTTTCAGTTTTAACCCATTACCCCTTGTCCTATCACTACAGTCCCTAATGAAGAGTCCCTCCCAGCATCCCTATAGGCCCCCTTCAGATACTGGGAGGCTCCTCTGAGGTCTCCATGCAGCTTCTCTTCTCCAGGCTCAACAGCCCCAACTTTCTCAGCCTGTCTCCATACAGGAGCTGCTCCAGTCCCTGAGCATCCTCGTGGCCTCCTCTGGACTTGCTCCAACAGCTCCATGTCCTTTTTATGTTGAGGACACCAGAACTGCACACAATGCTCCAAGTGAGGTCTCACGAGAGCACAGCAGAGGGGCAGGATCACCTCCTTCGACCTGCTGGTCACACTCCTTTTGATGCAGCCCAGGATACGGCTGCTTTCTGGGCTGCAAGCGCACACTGAAGCCGGCTCATGTTCATTTTCTCATCATCCCAAAGAACTTAAAACCCAGACAGGCAAAACTCTTCCAGTCTGTTCCTAAGTTGGGTTTTTAAGAAAGGTTTAAGTAAGAAAGATACGTGGCTTAGAGCTGCTTCAGACAGCTGGGAGAAACGTATGGAGGTAGTCATCATGAAGGGAAATGAATTGCTCCAGTGAAACAGGAAGCTACAATCAGGAGTAATGGGAGAAATTAGAGGCAGAGCCTGCAGCAAGGTGCTGGCAGAGTAACCAGGACAAAGCAATAAGCAACAACTACAGGAGATGGGGCAATGGCCAACCCTTCCTTTGGCCTCCTGCTATTTGCTCAGCCTTTGTAACCCTGCTCTGTGTCCCCCAGGTCATCAGTGTGCCCGAGGGAGATTTCTTCTTTGACTTTGTGAGACACCTGACAGACTGGATAAAGAAAGCAAGACCAGCAAAGGATGGTAACAGTGCCTGTTCTCCACTGTGGGTCGCACACAGCCCTCCTAGAGCCCTCCAACCCTTGCAGACAAGGTTGCCCACGCTGTGTGGTGGGTGTGCTGTCTGCATAGCCCTGAGGACATCACTGGGAGCTGATCTGCCCAGGAGCAGTGAGAGCTCTTCTCCATGGACCTTGTCCCTATGAGGAGCATCTCCAGGTTTGCAGTGGTTTCAGTGGTGGGATACATCTCACCTCACTGCCCACATCCACAATGGAGCTGGCTGCATATATCAGTGGCTGCAAGACAAGGGTGCCTCCAGGGTGCAATTCCTCTGTCCTGCATTAGGCATGAGCATTATCATTGAAGCACAATCATGCAAATGCATCCAGACACTCTTTCCATTCTATTAAAGCTTTCCAAGGGGAAGATGTGGTTTTCTTTGCAAGGTCAGAGCCCATTTGGCCCTGCAAGTGTGCTTGCAGGTTGTGATGGCACATGGCCACCAGTGGCTTGTAGGGACACCAATTGATAGCTGGTACTCATATCGTTGCTCTTACATACCTGCTCCCTTTGCACAGGTATAGTGCCTTCTCTCACCTATCAAGTGTTCTTCATGAAGAAGCTGTGGACCAACACAACACCTGGAAAGGACTCAATGGCAGATTCAATCTTCCACTATTACCAGGTACTGGGGAGCCTGCAGTAGCAGTGGAGACCTGGGAGGAATTAGGAATGAGTCATGGAGACCCTTTCCATCTGCAGATGGATGAAGTCTTGTGTTAAATAGGAAGAACTCTTGCCTTAAATAGAAGCCTACAAAGAGCACTGTTGAGTTGCATGGCAAGGAGCAGTCTTCATGCACTTCAGGGCATTGAGCTCAGCTGGGATTTGGGCCAGCTCTGTTGGGTGGGCATCAAGAAACAGTAGAGACCATGTCCAGCCTTAGCAAGGAGGCTGAATTCAGAAGCATCCTGAGGGTTTTCAGCCACCTCCATTCCTGGAGATGAGCTGTGATGGTCCCAGTAGTCAGGTAAGAAGTTGCAGTTCTAGTGCTCTTATTTCTTCTGTGATAGGAGAGACACCTCCATGTCCCAAAGCTCTCTCACAGATACAATCCCTGTGTTCTTGCCTGGATAAAGTGGTTATTCCTATGTGACTGTATCCCTTCAGTGCTTGAGTTGGTCACGTTTTCAGACACTTGGAAAACTCATTCAGTTCCAAGTGGCCATTAGTAGGGGTGGATTTCCTAGGATGAGGAACATCCCTGTGAACAACCCTGTAGTTTCACACACCTAACAGCTAACATGGGGACCTCCCTGTTTCACCTAACAGGAGACTGGTTTAGATCAGAGGGGATCTTTAATATCTAGTATGGTCTCAGTTGAGCAGCTCCCTTTCCACCACACTCAACACAACTGCTGTGGGTGTTCCCAGGGCTCAGCCTCTTAACCGGGGCTGGATGCCCCCACAAACTCCATTTAACATCTGAGGGTGAAGGCCCACGGTGATTCCCTCTATTCTTGAATCATTCTTTCCTCCATGCAGGAGCTACCAAAGTACCTGCGTGGCTACCACAAGTGCACACGGGAAGAGGTCCTGCAGCTGGGAGCTCTCATCTACCGGGTGAAGTTTGAGGATGACAAGTCCTATTTCCCCAGCATCCCCAAGCTCCTGAAGGAGCTGGTGCCTCAGGACCTCATCCGGCAGCTCTCTCCAGATGACTGGAAAAGGGTAAAACAGCAGCTTGAGTCAAGCACAGTCTCTTGGGTGACTTGTCTGACGTTCAGCATTAAAGTGGGGCTATCAGATTGAGGTGACCCATGGTCCCGCTTGAACCTTAGCAGAGCTTCAGCCTCCCCAGCATCAACAGCAGGAGGAATTATGTATGTATGTTCATACACATGTGCCTTGCAGTGGGTTTTCTTTGCGCTGCATGTGGCTGTGGTGGTGGATGCAACACCATATGGATACGTGCTGGTGGATGCAACACCATATGGACACATGCTGGGAGATGGTCTCATACAGAGATCTGTTGTTCAAGGCAAACTACTGAGTAGAGGGGTAATTCTTCCTGCTTTACACAGGGAGGACTATGGCATGGGTACAGACAGGTCTAGAGCCATAAAATGACAACAGTTTCTCACTGCCAATAGTCATACAAGTCCTTTCTGTGTCCTGGGAATTGACCTCAACCATGTGCCCAACCAGTGAGCTATCAGCGTCTCTGGTTGAAGGTCTCTCAGTCTCCTCTGCTGTGTAAATTGGAGGATCAAAGCTTATAATCCTTTTAATAGAGTCACAACTTACCTAAGAAAGAAGGACCTGGTTCCATTTCCTCTCCAATGGCCAACCATCACTTCTGTGATGAATGGAGCTCATTGGAATAGAGATGAGAACCAAACATCTTTGAGGGAATGATGCTCCTTCCCTGCAAACACCCCTGGCGCTAGGTAGTGTAGCCATCCAGCTCTGTTGTGTTCTCTGTTGCAGTCCATCGTGGCATACTACAACAAGCATGCAGGCAAATCAAGAGAAGAAGCCAAGCTTGCCTTCCTAAAGATTATCTTCAAGTGGCCTACATTTGGATCTGCGTTCTTTGAAGTGAAGGTACCTGCCCTGCTTAGGGTTTTCTCTGTCAGCTTTTAACCAAGGTCAGGAGCCCCATATCACAGAGGGGTTCCAGGTAGGCAGGGTTGTCCCAGTGTCTGCACCAGACTGGGACAACCCTGATGAAGCAGGGAAAGAGTATGAGACTCTCCATCAGTACAATACACTCATTGCTGTCATGTCTCTTTACACAGAGGCATTGTAGAGCTTCAGCATATCTCAGTCATTGGGTCTATATTGTGCTGCTGAAGAGCCAAGAGCAGTCCTCTTCAAAGGGGAATGTGATTTTCCAAGGGACTTGTCTGCACCCACCACAAATCAAATCCAGGCAACCCGTTACAGCACCAGACTCCCACCAAAGACAGTAGAGGCCAGAAGTCTGTCCAAGTACTTTGGACACCTTATTGCAACTCCCTCTCCTCAGTAGCCACACAGTGAGCCTGGCTGGAAACAAGTTGCTGAAATTACTCATCAGTTACTAGAACTTGGGCACCCCATTTTCTGTTGTGTCCATCTTAGATGGAATAAAGAATCCTGTGATTTTTCCTTCAAAACTGACTTGGTAGCCAAGAAAGATGTGACAGAGCAGGAGCTGCCCCCATCCCCTGTGCTCTGTCTCATCAATCAGACTGGAATTCCTCATGGTAGACGGCTGGGAGAAGGGTTTACAGCAGGAACAAAACCGAATGGAAAGATCAGAAGGGCACAGAGCAGTGTAGTCTTGGTCTGGTTGTCCACAGAGTGGGCATGAGGAGGAGCAGAACACCAAGCAGACTGGAAGGGTTTGCCAGCTCTTCCTTGCCAATGGCAAGGTGACCTCGTTTCTGAGATGCTACCAAAGGGAGCAATGAACTTGATGCTATCAGCAACTCACCCACTCATTATCATGCATTTAGGAGATCTATGCTTAACTAGACAGCCCTGAAATCACTGATACCTTAATGAGCTCTATGTTTATCTTTAAAGGATAAACTGGGTAACAGTTAATGGGCCACCCCATACTGACAGAAGACAGGGAGAGAGCAAAGAGGAAGGGGTCAGATTTTGCATGACACATCCCCTAACCAGTTCGTCTCATTCCCAACAGCAAACTACAGAGCCAAATTATCCAGAAATCCTTCTAATTGCCATCAATAAGCATGGAGTCAGCCTCATTGATCCCAAAACCAAGGTAAGCAAAACTGATGTTCATGAGCCCACTCCCGAGCTCCTCACAAATGTTATCCCAAAGTACATGTTATTCAGGTGTTCTCCTTAAGCCTAGTTAGAAAGGCTGGATAGCCAGAAAAGTTTCTGGAGGCAGAAATTCACTGTTACAGAGAGCCAGCCCAGCCTTTTTCCATAGGAGATGGGTTGAGAGCGTCACTTTTAGGGCCATATAACTAGAGGATGCACATACTTCTTCCTTAATCCTTTCATAGACATTAGGACAGGAGCTGGAGTAGATGAGCTCCTACTGGTTGTTTCCACCAGCCACAAAGTGATAGCAGTACAAGAGTCTTCCACCAGCTCTGGAGGATCCAGTCTTGCATCTCACTGCCATTCCAATGAGGCCATGATACAGTCTCATCACAGTAGACATCCTTGGTCTGCTTTGGTGGCACCTGAAGGAAGAGGTGGAAGGTTCCCAAAGCCTTTCATGGAAGTTGAGGCTCTCGTGTGTTAAGTGTCAGCCTTCTTGTTCCCACCAGGATATTCTCATCACTCACCCCTTCACCAAGATCTCCAACTGGAGCAGTGGCAACACCTACTTCCATATAACCATCGGCAACCTGGTGCGGGGAAGCAAGCTGCTCTGTGAGACCTCCCTGGTAAGGAGCGCTAAAGATTATTTGGCACAATTAGACCAAATCCTCACTTTGTTGGGCAAAATGAGATGCTTCCAGCAAATTGTGCCTCAGGGATATTCTGGGCTGAAAGTTGCCCCTTAGAAGAGTCTGCAGTGTGTTTTTCTTACTGCTGGGTTTCTCCTGGCTCTGCTCAATGGATCAGGGCTATCACTTGGTCCACCACCCATTTACAAGCAAGTCTGAGGTGCTTGGATGTTGCCATCTCACGAGCACAGGGCACTGCTCCCTGACACTGGACTGAAAAGCACATTAAATACACAACGTAGACTCAGGGGTACTCCTGAGCTCTTTTACCAAGATCCTTTGCCCAGCTTGTCCCTAGTAACAGTCACAGCAACAATAAAACCTTAGAATCATCGGATCAACCAGGTTGGAAAAGACCTTTAAGACCATCAAATCCAACCATTACCCCAGGACTGCCAAGTCCACCACTAAACCTTGTCACCTTCTTATCTACACATTAAACCCAAAGCATGAAGGATAAAAGTTCCTGCTGGATTAATTGTTATTAATGTGAGGCATTCATTATTTTGTTGGCCATTTGAGAACCGAGGCCCCATTCAAGGCTGCTTTTGTCTTTAGCCTCAATAGCATCCTGGAATAGTGAGTTCCTCCACCTCAACACTGCAGATTGCGTTTGGACTGTGTTCCTTGTGATGGTGTCCTTTCATAGACTCATAGAATGGTTTGGGTTGGAAAGGACCTTAAGATCATCCAGTTCCAACCCCCCTACCATGGGCAGGGACACCGCACACTAAACCATGGCACCCAAGGCTCTGTCCAATCTGGTCTTGAACACTGACAGGGATGGAGCATTCACAACCTCCCTTGGCAACCCATTCCAGTGCCTCAGCACCCTCACAGTAAAGAACTTCTGCCTTATATCTAACCTGAGCTTCCCCTGTTTCAGTTTGAACCCATCACCCCTTGTCCTATCACTACAATCCCAAGGAGAACTGTTGAACAGGTCAAAATGTACCCAAAGCTTGAAAGTCAACAACTGGCAGCCAGTGTGTTCAGGAGGCACAAATCAGACACTTTAAACTGTGCTCTACAAAGGCAGGTAACATCTTCTCTCTCCTCCTCAGGGGTACAAGATGGATGATCTCCTGACCTCGTACATCAGCCAGATGCTAACAGCCATGAGCAAACAGAGGAGCGCGAAGGGTAGCAAATGAACTGCAAGAAGCCACTGGCACATGGCCATGCGGCTCATCCACCAGCTGAGGCCCGTGGGATACCCATGCAGCTGGGGCAGAACCTTTGCCTCCCAGATGTGGAAGATGAGCCGGACACCATCAGGGAGCTCGCTGGACTCTGACCTTGAGGGCTCCAATCCCACCTCCCCTTCCAGCGAAGATGACTATCTCTGACCTCCCTCCTTCTCCACCCTGCGCCCCAACACCATCTTGCACCTGAAAGCTTTCCAGGGGACACCACTGCCCTCAGACAGTGACCAAGCAAAGACACTCGGGCAGGAGGTTTGCCTGAACCCAATGGTTGGCATCAGAAAGGCTCTTGAAAGAGGATTTTATCTCTGTGTGTGTGTGTGTGTGTGGTTTGGTTTGTTTTTTCTCTTAAGTAAAAGAGAGCTTTTTGGTGAGGTTTTGGGCATTTCAGGCTCGAAGAGGGGTAACAGAGCCCTGAACATGCTGGAAAGGTGACAATGAACACTGCAGGGCTTGGGTTTGGACGTTACAAGAGAATACGTTATGCTCTTATGAAGGACAGGAAGGAAAAAGCAGGGAGGAACGTTTTAACTAGGAATCAGAATAAACCAACTACTGATGGAACAGGCTAAAGTGCTGTCTGTGCAATGCTGGAGATATTTAAAGAACAGATTTTAAAGTGTTGTTTCTTCTTCTATTTATTTTTTAAGATATTAAAAAGGAAAAAAAGAAATCAAATCCTGCATTTTGTGCTGGTATCTGGACACTGACTCGGGGCTGAGGGCGACCTGCAGGACAATGTCTCGCCCAGGGATTCCCCCAGAGCCATGATCACCAGAGGATAAGGCACATCATTCCCAGCTTCTGGGATCAGCTGGAAGTGAAGCTTGGAAGATGAATTATCCCCTATGCCCAGACAAATTAACCCTGGGAGGACGTTTACTACAAGCTTCAATGTGGATATAGGGGCTCTGAAGGCCCCGTGCTTGGAAGACTTGAGGCTAAGCCTGTGTTGAGCTGTAATTCAAACATGGACTTGGCCATTGGGGATGGAAACAGTTTATGATTCTATTATGCTTTTGTGTGTGTTGCTGTGTAAAATGGCTCTCAGCTGGACCTGAACCACTCACAGTGAGGGCAGACCCTTGATTTTGATGGGCTTTTCTCCATCTTTGCCTGGCTGTGCTAACCCACTCTTTAGAAGATGGTTGGAAGATGTTGTAAGATGGTTGTCCCATCTTCCTCTTAACACCATGCAGCACGGACCAGCCTGCTTTGGAGCAGAGATGGGACCTGCCAGGAGGGAGGATGCTGAAGCCGTGCTGTGTCTGTGGGGATGCAGGGGAAGGAGCCTGGGGTGCCTTTCCAAAGCCAGGCTTCAAAGGGACATGTGCCTGGGTGTGGGGCATCAGAAGGGTTGACAATTGTCCACCGAGATTTGGGGCTGGCATCACTAGCGCTGAGTGGATCTCAGTAGATGTGGGAAACCTCTCTTGGTCCCAGGTATTGGGCTGAGCTTGAGTGCTTTCATGGAAGTTCATATTGTGGGGTGCATTGTTCTGCTGAGCTCTTCTGGATGCCAGAGAGGGACTCTTCATCAGAGACTGTAGCAATAGGCCAAGGGGAATGGCTTGAACCTGCCTGAGGGGAGACTGAGCTGAGCTCTTAGGCAGAAGCTCTTCCCTGTGAGGGTGCTGAGGCGCTGGCACAGGGTGCCCAGAGAAGCTGTGGCTGCCCCATCCCTGGCAGTGTTCAAGGCCAGGTTGGAGACAGGGGCTTGGAGCAAGCTGCTCCAGTGGAAGGTCTCCCTGCCCGTGGCCGGGGTTGGAACTGGACGAGCTTTAAGATCCCTTCCAACCCAAACCAGTCTGTGAACCTGTGATTCTATGATCTTGGCTCAGTTCTTCAACACCATGGCGTGCCAGGCAGAGTCAGCAGCACTGTTTACCAGACCTCAAGTACTGTAACATCTGATTGGGATGCAGCAGTGATTTTGGACCATGATTGCTCCACCAGAGAGAATGAGATGCTACACAGTCTACCAGGGCTGCTGGGAGAGCGCCTTCCTCCATCCTCCCCTACAAGGTACTCTGGTGATGGGAACACGGTTACACCAGCCAAGGCTACACTGGGAGCCAAGCTGCCTTCTCACCACCCATCTCTGATGCTTCTCTCCCCTCCCCAGCTGCCACAATCCAGCTGTCCCAGGGATCCTTAGATATGTGCCCACCATCATCTCCACCACCACCACCACTGCTTCCTTTAATTCTCCCACAGCACACTCAGTAGATGATGCAGCACAGCAACGTTCTCCAATGCTGTCCTGGGCCAGCTTTCCCCCACCATCACCTTCATCCCTCTGCTTACAGCTCTGTTGGCCTCCCATGCACCCCATTGTTTTGAGGGGTGCTGGAACTCTGTGTGCGTGTGCCTGTGTGTCATGTGTATTAGCATCTGCTGGCCTCTTTGTATCCACACCAAACGATGTAACATGGAAAACATATGTCCAAGTGAACTGCTCTAATTAAAAAGCATCAAGTGGCTTGTGAGAGGCTGGCCTATGTGGTTGTGGTGGTGTTTCCATAGGAAAGGGTGGGCTCAGGACCTCCAGGTCCTCACTGAGGACGTCTCCTTGCAGAGTGGGGCTCCTGGTGAGAGTATCCAGCAATGGGGAGCAAATCAGTGCATCTGGACTGGAAGTGTGGGGAGATACCACTGTGTATGGGCCAAGCAGCAGGTAGGTACATGGATGAAGACTCAGTGAGGTGGCTTTTCTAAATACATATTAATATGTGGTTGGGGGACCACAGCCAAGTCCTTCACCAGGCTGAGGACCCCACAGTACACACCACTGCTCAACTCACACACTCTCCACCTCCTGTTTTGCTGCTCATGGACCTCCACATGAATGGTACCCAAAAAAACGATGAACCAGCTACAAACACGGTGCATGAGGAGGTGGCAAAACCATCAGTAGCATCCTCTCCCCATGATGCTTAGATCTGGACCTGTTCTACACCAATCCACCACCCTTTGGCCCGTTTTCCAAAGGGTGATTCAGCCTTTTTGCATTTACAGCCTCCAAAATACACCAAAGTTGCAACTTGGAAAGGTTTGCATGCTTCTCAGCACAGTTAACTCTGAAACCTAATGCTTCCCTGTCACAATTCACTTGTGATAGCTTTATTTAGTTAAACCACTGAGCTGCATAAGGCTCATATATGAGAAAATGTCTATAGCCTGATGCAGGTAAAGATGACTATTTTCTTCTTCTTTCCCACCTTGCCAAAATAAGAACACAACAGGACAGGAGAGCCAAAACATATTTAAAACAGCATTTAAAACTTACAAAAGATGTATTCTTATCTGTTCAAGTAGAAATTTATGGCTTAAACCTGGGAGATGCTCCCACCTCCCTTGCAGAGCAAGGCATAGACCCCTCTCCATGCTGTGTGCCAGTAGCCACTGGGAGAAATGAAGACAGGAATCGATCCCAGGGTGCAGCACAGGTTATACAGACCTTCCCAATGGAAAAGCAAACAGGGCACTTGGTGGGACGGATTCACATGCAGCTCAAGTCTTCTGTATAAAAGAAGTGGTGTATTTTTGGTTATAGTCCCAGTAGCTACATGGCCAGGGCACCAAAATGTCCTTCAGCACCCATGGAGACATATGCCCTTGGCCACAGCCAAGGGGAAGAGGCTGTCCTGGTAGAGTCTGTGGCAGGGCAAGAGTGGAGAAGAGGAAAACCTAAGTGCCCCTGTCTGTGTTATAGAGAGGAATGGATCTTAGTGACCCAGCCAGAAGCACTTGACCATCATGGTGGGCTTAGTGTGCCCTCGGGGATGGAGGAGACCTGCAAGGAATGAGGGAGGGAATGTGTGGAGAAGAGGTTGGTCTAACACGGAGGAGGACAGGATGATGCCCAGATGTTCCAGCACATCTGCAGCACGCAGCTGTGGAGACAGAGGGCTTGCACAGCAGGAGGGATTACAGGACGATGCGCTGTGGGATGCAAATGGGCTCAGAGGTAAACGGTGGCTCCCATGTGGTTGCTGCATCCCATCACAGTGCACAGCTTCTTCATGGCTGTAACTCCAGCTGTGCTCCCCTGCATCCCAGGCACGGACAGCAAGAACAGCTATAGGAGAGGAAGCTTGGTGCTCATGTTCAGCAGTCACAAAGGCAAATGGCTCCTTGTCACCAAGGATGTGGGCCCCCCTTAGCAGGTCAGTGTTTGCACTGCAGGAAGGGCATGGTCTGCTCTTCAGTGTTCATCAAGGTGGCAGGTCCACATCCCTCCCTGCTTGCTGTCAGACAGTGACATTAGGCATGTTGTTGAGCTCTGGAAAAGAGGACACACAGGGAGCTGCTGAAACACCTGCAGTTGTTTTACCAGCCACTGTGAGCAAACAGAACCTGGCTGAACATGTGAACAGCCCAGGCTGGGTCATTTTGTGTGGCTGATGGCTCTATGGGTGCAGAAACCTGGTGCAGCCCCAGTCAATCCCACCCAAGAGTGCAGCTCCACGAGTGCTCAGTACCTCTTTTCACAGCATCACAGAGTGATGCATATTGGAGGTGACATCTGGGTGCCTCTGCTCCAATCTCTGCTTGAAGCATGGCCAATTAGATAGGACTGCTCAGGGCTTTGAGCAGCTCTGAGGGTGGATGTTCCCACTGTCTGGTCCCTGTTTCAGCATCTGATCACCCTCATGGGGAAGACTTTCTTTTTTCTCTTTATATCTAGCCACATTTTCCAAGGTTGCTTGTGGTGTTGTCACTACACGACCAAGAAACCTCTACGTCCATCTTCTCTACACCCTCCCATTAGATGGTTGGAACTGGATGATCTTAAGGTCCTTCCAACCCTAGCCATTCTATGATTCTATGGCTGAAGACAGTGATGCCCCTTGATTTTCCCTCCCACTGTGCAAACCCAGATCTCAAATGCCCCATCCTCCAGCTTAGTGGCCCCATAGAGTTCACTCCCATTTATCATAATCTCCTTGGTCCTGAGGAGCCTGAACTGGGACCAGTGCCCAGATGTGGCCTCCCCAGTGCTGAACAGAGGAAAGAAATCACTGCCACCTGCACTGAGTGAAACAACCCAGGATGCACCCATCCTTCCCCACAGCACGGACACCCATCACCAGCCCATCCATCAGGACATCCATGCAACCAGCAGGGGATCTCCTTGCCCTGCTCACCTGTCTTGAACTTGTTGTAGGTGCCGTTCTCCAGCATCAGGTCATCGTCTTTGGCACAGCAGGAGAAACTCCGCTCTCGCCACCTGCATGGGGCAAAGAACCTGGGTCAGGTCAACGCTTGCTGTGGTTCCCCTCCCACCTCCTTGATGCCATGCATGCCTGTTTCTACTTTGTCAGGGTAGGATATGCCCTGGTGTAGTGGGGTTTGCT